CTGTCCTGCACAGGATTCTGCGTTTCAGCTTCGTTCTGAGCACGAGGACTTGGAAGACTTGCTGCTGCGCTGCATGGCTCTGCTTCAGCGGCAGACTGTGCTGACTGCGTCGACGGGCTGGGCACGTCTTCAGAGGCTGCAGGCACGGTTCTGGCCCCCTCCTCTGCCACCACTATGCTGCCGACCGGCGTTGGTTCATTTAGCAGAGGTGCTCTTTGTGCAGCTTGCCCTGATGGGTCTGCAGCTTGATCAGATGGCGCAACTAGCCGAGCTGGCTCAGCTTGCTTAGCTTGCTCAGCTGGCTGAGCTGGCTGAGTTGGCTCGGCTTGCTCGGCTTGCTCGGCTTGCTCAGCTTGCTCGCTTTCAGCTGGTTCAGCTTGCTGGGCTTCAGCTGGCTCAGATGACTCTGTTTGCTCATCTTGAGTCTCCTCTTCAGCATCTTCATGCAGAGCGTCAACCGAAGGAGAGGACTGCGAGCTGCTGGAAAGTCGCTGGACGGAAGGCTTCTCGCTGGAGCCTTCTCCTGCACTGAGTGCAACGGGCAGCATTGGACCTATAGTTGTCGCACGGTGCACAGTCTGTCGTTACGGGTCCAAGCATGGCATCATTGGGGACCCTATAGCTCCTGCGACATCTCCCGCACTATGTGAAGAGAGAAGTTCTTGCGTTTGCATGCGGAAGACTTCCTTCGACAAGAACACAGAAGAAAAGGCTGGCAATGGCTGACAAAGAAAAGCTCCCCGTGTACCATCCATGGCACCGGCACGGCACATCACGGCAACACCCTGACACAAAGCATTCAGCAACCATGTAAGCAAGATGTTTGCTTGGTTAGGCTGGGGAAGGTCTTCAAAAATGATCCTGGCTTTGATTGGCCCACAATGCAGGCAAGTTACGGTTGTGTTGCCAAGCTCCAATGGCCTCACAACATGTACTGAGACACCTTTCGCTTCTCCTCCTTTAGCTCCTCGTGTTCCCCGTCTTCTTTCGCCCCCTCGTCCGCTCCCCTCCTCTCCCCTCCTCTCCCTGCTCTCCCTCTCCTGTCCGAGATGTCCGAGAGATTCGACATCATTCGCTTCCAGTGGGCCGGCTCTGGCTCCTTGAGTGACAGGAGGGGAGGGACAGCAAGTCCAGTCTTCGTACAAAAGCTAGGGCACTGCTGGAGCGTTATCATGTGGGCAGTAATGGGAAGGACCCGGGGGAGGGAGGGAGGGAGAGGGATGTGGTGAGAGCGTCAGAAGCATAGCCCCCTCCTCATCCGGCTGCTCGGTGGAAATCCTTCGGGCAGTCAGCATGACAGCCACCACAGCAAGCAAGCACCAACATTAACATTTTGATCCGCACAGCCAATGTTACGATTCTTGTAGTTGCAACGCTTATCAGTTCAAGACCATGCTACGTGGTCAAAGAGCACTGCCTGCTCGTTTCTGTGTTTGATCCTGCTTGCTGCAGAACGCAAAAAACAAGCAAGGCTTAAACGCTTGAAGCTTGTGCAGGTAATTCCGAAGGGTCCTGAAGATCTGGACCCCCGACCGTTTCACGATGGGCTCATGCTCAGCCAGTAAAAAGGCGTCCTGCGCCTGAGGCTAGGCTGCAGACATCTGTAGTAGCTTCGTAGCATTTGAAACAGGATTGCCGAGGTCAGAGGCAGGCCTTGGCCTTACCACGCCGCCGGTAAAGGACCGCGAAGCCAAAGGCTACGAGAGACAGCAACCCGGCCCAGCGCAGCCGAAGGGGACTGGGCGGACTGGGACAGGAGCAGAGGGACATGGACATGAAGCTCCATGAGTCTGTCATAGTCTGTCACCTGCTTCTACATCGAACCGAGATGCAGTTATGGACAAGAGGATTACTTGAAATTGCACAAGAGATTTCAACCTCCGCGCAGACCCGACGCACGGCCGGCCAACCTGGATGTTTCCTGCTCGGACTGGTTCGGCTCGTGTGCGGACAAGTGCAGCTGCTCCTGAAAACTTACACGCGCCACAGAGTGGGAAGAGTAGGGGGATGGATGGTGCTAGCTTCAGCTACTTGTATCACTACGGCAAGTGCACAACTCTGCTCTCAGCACGTCGACTTGCACCAACTCTAAGCTTCAGCTAAGCTTCAGCAACCTCTGCGGCCTCCTCGCCTAGTCCCGTTGCCAAGCCTTCAAGCCGAGCCTTCAAGGAAAGACAGGGAAAGCGAAAGCCGGCAAAAGGAATTGCTGCAATCGCAAATGCCCACGAAATACGAGTCGGTCTGCAACATCGGTTCCGTTCATCATGCCTATTTCATCCTATCCCTTTACTGCGCAAGAGTCCAGGTCGGCCTGGCGCTTTCCTCTCGATTCCGTGTTGAAACAAACTCGTACTGCAAGCGGATGACTACGTACTTGTAGGTCTATTTATTGCTCACCACTCGCCTTCGAAAAGAATGCCCAGACAGCAGCCGCAAGGGTCACCTTCGTGAAGTTAAGCACCAGGTCAGGTGAAAGTTGGGTGCACATCATGTATCGTGTCGCACACAGCTTCCCTCTGCATGGCACAAAGCGCCATCCCCAACCACCCCTTGCTGTCGTCATCTCTCTGCCATCCCGTGCACTCTCCGACCATGAAGCAGATCCACTGCCGAACGTTCCGGCTGCTCAAGGCTTGTGATGACACGCAGGTCGCAGCTTTAAAAGGAATAGTGGAAAGTGCATAGCTTGGGAAAGCAACCACAGGCAACAGCAATGTTCCTCGCATCGCGTGAGGCCCCCACACTCGGAGGAATAACTTTTACACACTTCCGCAAATGTCCTGAACAAGGCAGGGCAGTTTTGCTTGCGGACAAATGTTGATCACCATAGACGCCTGCTGCCTTCCTACAGCAACGCCGAATCGCAAGAACTAAGATGACGCCTGGTCAGCTGGCCTGTGCTGAAGTTTGCCAGGCGCAAAACTGCACTCAACCCATCACAACATATCACAACTCCATCAAAACAAAAAACAAAAACGACCCAAACTGAGGCACTGAGGCATGACACATTCAGGCCCCAAACAGTAACAAACTAAAGCCCCAATTGCAGAACACCCTGACAATAAACGCAGAAGCTCTGGAAACTCCTTGAACTTCCTGAGATGCCCAACCAGTGTCCTGGAGCTTTGACCGGCGCAGGCGGTGCTTCCACAATAAACAGGGAGCCGGTCAGAACATCCACCTAAGATCAGCGTTGCACGGCGATGGCCCAACTGCGTGGCCTAGACATAGCCCTCATGCACTCTATGACTCTGTGTCATGTTGTACAGGTGTTGTACACCTTTGTACAAATTCTCTGGCACCACCGGTCTACTGATATGGCCTCGGCGGCCTCGCCGGCTATCTGCAGTTCACCTTCAAGTCGCTCAGTTGTCTCGTGCCGCACCCTCATATCTGCCAAAGACCCTCTGGCAACTTCAACACTTCAACACCACTGTGCCACACTCTGTGCAAACATGTGCAAACTGCTCAAGCATGCCTGCAGCCACGCCGAGTAAAGCAGCCTCGGCACATTCAAGGTGGCAGAGATGCTGTCCAGTCACCCTGAACCACGAGTGACTCCTAAACCCACACCGAATGGAGTGCTGCCATCCGCAAAAAACGAAGTTCAAAGACAACTTTTGCAGCCTTTGCAATCCACAAAGCCTCATGAGTCAACTCATGAGAAATAATCCCTCAACCTTCAGTCCTGCGCTTTAAGGCCTTAGCCCGCCCAGCCTGTACCAAAGTCCTTGAAGGTGAGAGACCCTTTCAACTCGAAGCCCCCCCCCCCCCCCCCGCCCTCCCGAACCCCAACCTCACTGAATCAGCCGGGGAGTTGTTAGGCCATACCCCCGCATGAGACAAACAATACTCGCGCCGGCCTGACAAAGAAAAAACCCCAAACCCGTGGCCTCCATCCCAACAAAACTCTTTTGGTCCCCCAGATTGTGGCAAACCAGTAGTTTGCGAGCAAGTGTTCAGGCGAGTTTCAGGACCGGTTGGTTCGGACGCCACATTGGCTTTGAAAGCAGAGATCGTGCCATCCCCAAACTGATACGTCCACCATACACGTTGTCACAGGGGTGACGTCCGATTCGGAAACTAAATTGGTGTAATTCAGTCGCCAGAATTCAGGAACAGGTGGAATTCCGGAACCGTGTCGCGGACCGCGCGGGGCAATTCGGGAACTGCGAAGCACCAATTCGGGAACCGAGACGGAACAATTCAGGTGCCACAGAAGGCATTCGTAGAGGGCGTGGATCTGACTTGGTGCATTGCCGCCACGCCGTCGAAGACGGATGTCTGGATAGGTATGTCAAGTAGAAACACCTTCTACATTCAATTCGGAGAATCCCTAAACAACCCTAAAAAACCCTAACCCCCCTAAGCCCTAAACCCTCAACCCCAAACCGTAAACGCTAAACCCCAAAAGGAGATGTTGGGCGGCGAGCCCGAAACCCTTGCAGGAGATGTGGCGGTCTGGGTTAGGTTTGGGGAATCGGGAAACTTTAGGGGTCAGGGCCGTGAGGACAGGGATCATGGCACCTTAGGGTTCTGACAGCTATGAAAAGATTCCGGGTCACCAGGAGGACATAGGTCCTCAGAGTCCATGAACTGTGCTCACATGGTTCCGGAATTCCATTGCGTCCTCTTGGTGTCAGCCCCCGGTGCCTGTATTGTGCCCCGCATTTCCTGAATTTTGTGTCAGAACTGCAGGGGCTGTTCCTGACCACAGTTGTGTGCAAAGAAAGCCGCTTGATGCGAATCAACTGAAACATTGCTGCCATAGCTGATCTTGATGCCGAGGAGCAAGTAGAACAGCCACCATTTGCAGGGCTGACAGCTACTGTGCTTGTAGGCTTGATTGAGCCAAGCTACAGGAACCGAATGAAGCTTGAATAATATTTCATGGAAACACGATGAAACAAGAGATGCTTGTCACACGACTCTATATATGAATGTATTTATACCTCATGGAACAAGACTTGTGAATGTGTGCATTCAAACCGTCGGTTCGCCTATGTAGGGCTTGAAGTACTCGCGCTCACGACGTTCGTTTTGTTCCTGGCAAGTGAGAACTCTGGTTGGAAGCTCCTGCGGCAACCCCATGAGCAGAAAGACCACTCCTTGTCCCTTGACAATTTTGCAGCTTCTGCCGCTTTCGACGCTGCTTTGGCAGTTGATGCGGGAGCTGCGCTCGAAGCTGCATTTTCTGCTCCTTCCAGCACCTTTTCGTTGGGCATGGCAACCTGCATCGCAGGGGTGACTGTGGTCATGGACCATGGCAACTACATAACTACACTCCTTGTTTCTGTTGACTAACATCATGAAGTCTGACGCTGCCTGAGGTGAGGCAGGTGGCTTTGGTTTTGCCTTTGGAGCTTCCGTGGCTTCTCTGGCTTCTGGCCTGTCGCAGAGAACCACCCGTGACCAGCACTCAAAAAACACCAAAGCACAGAGGTCGGCCTTCGCTCTTTCTTCTTTGGGGCCGGAACTTCGACGACTTCAAAGCAGCCAAGACGTAAGCTGGCGCGAAAGATTCACGGCGGTGCACATGCATGCTGGATCTGGTGATGCTTCCGATTCGCAAGAACATCAATGCACTGAGCCGCTGAGAAACAAATTCCGGCCGGCTGCTGCCCCCCCCCACCCCGCAGGTGCGGGCTCGGGTGGGGTGTGGATGCGGGTGTGAATGTGTGTTGTGTGCATGTGCATGTCTATAATATGCGTACATGTATGTGAGTGTACGTGTGTACGTGTGTACGTGTGTACGTGTGTACGTGTGTACGTGTGTACGTGTGTACGTGTGTACGTGTGTACGTGTGTACGTGTGTACGTGCGTACGCGTGTATGTGTGTATGTGTGTATGTGTGTATGTGCGTATGCATGTTGTATGTATGTATGTATGTATGTATGTATGTATGTATGTATGTATGTATGTATACAGATATATAATGATATATATATATATATATATATATATGTGTGTGTGTGTGTGTGCGTGTCTGCGTCTGCGTCTGCGTCTGCGTCTGCGTCTGCGTCTGCGTCTGCGTCTGCGTCTGCGTCTGCGTCTGCGTCTGCGTCTGCGTCTGCGTCTGTTTCCGGTGTGCGTGACCACCATGAAAGATGGCTCCTACAACTAAAGCCTGTTCAAACTTCGTTGCATGTTCAAACTTCGTTGCAATTCAGCAAAGGGGATGGGACGTGTCAAGGGGCGCCTTGACACACACCTTCGATTCCAAAGTTTGCGATCGTCTGTGCTGCTTAAGAAGCTGTGCCACTGGCCATGTTTGTATCTCGGGCTTTGGCTTCAGGGCGTCAAGACTTAGTTAGTGAACAGATGCAAGACAAGGCCCCTGCTCTTCTGGCTCAGCGGACACTGCCGACTGTGCAGCACGCACACCTTTGCCACGAGTGCCCACGACTGCTTACAAATCAAGCTAATCTGACATGAACGACACGGCATCCATTGCAATGCCTCTTGGCCTCCAGCTTTTGTTCAGCTGGCCAGAAGCTGGGACAGGCAGAACGTCACCTTCGGCCAGCCATCCAACATGGAAAGATGTCGGACACGACATCAGTAGACAAAGTGAGCCACGAAGCTTTATTCACATCCTTGCAGCTACTGGCAGGATTTACGAGTACCATTGTCAAAGTCATGAGCTTCCAAGGTGCTGAAGCTCGTCTTGCGACGCTTGGCGCCTGACTGGTCAGGGAACGAAAGAACTACCTTCTGCCGGTGACACGGTCCCTGAACTGTTTCTCGAGTCTCTAAAATCTCTTAAGCTGAAGGTTTCAAAGCCTGAGCCAAAGGCTGGGCTCTTCGAAGCTGCCCATCACGCATACCGCTGACCTTGATGTCCTCCGACACCGGTGCTCATGGTGCACAAAAAATTTGCGAACCTGTTGTCAGTTCAGCTCGGCCTTGCGCTGACTTACATGGCTTTTCACAGCACTTCCGGCTGCCGGGTGGCCATGGCATTATTCCACACAAGAACCCTTTAGAACCAAACGTCTGAAGCGTCAGCGACCTAATTGCGAATCTTGCATCAGTGCAAACATTGACAACGAATGTGCAGCTGTACGTCAGTTGCAGCTCTACTGCCTGAAGTGAGTCAAGCTGGAACGGCAAGAGATGAAACCACCGAGCCTACTTCCTGGTTGAAGCGCTAACTGCAAGGTACCGCACTTGCCTCGCTCTATGCCAACTCCCAAGACTGAGTGTTCCTGACAGCAACATCAATCAAGTGCTGCATGGTGCCGTACCGCGCTTGCAGCTGAAGCTGCTTTGCGAGAACTTTCGTTGGGCGTCATGTGTGTGTGATTCTGAGCAGCAGTGGTCTGGCTATTCTTTTGTCTTGGCTTGTCAACTCCTCCCTGAGAGTGCAGCGCAGCATCACAGTGGTTGGCCGGTGGAAAACACAGACACATGTTGACGAAAATCTTGATGCACATCTGGGTGCCAGCAGGGTACCAGTTGGGGATCGTCTGCCAAAAGTTGACGCATTGCGTCTGACTTGGCAAACAAGCTCCAGCACTGGCACCGTTTCACCCAAATGCGTGTGGTCGAGCATCACACTCGAAGGGACCCGGGTAAAAATCAGTGCGGCTAGGATTGGTGCTACAAGTCCGTCATCTGAGGATGATAATTTGATAATCTTAGCATATCCTAACACTACGGTTCGCCCTCTTGCACTGAGGCTAGAAGCACAGTATCAGCAAAGTTGCCCTGACAATTCCTTCACAGTATCTTCAGCTGTGCGTTAGGGCAGCCAGCTTCTGCCTGCAGAAGAGCTGACACACTTCCAACACTTAGAGTCTGAGAAGCCCGAGAAGCCTGCCGACAGTAAGAGCGCGAGGAGTCAAGAAGGTTGCCAGAGAATCAGAATCTTGGCCATCACTTCCATGCCTTGCTCTCATCGAAGAGCTTCTGCAAGCCTTCCATGTACACCTGAGCTGCAGCATGACACATACATACTGATACATACCTGAGCTACTTTGAGCCATTTTCAAGAGACTTCTCATCATTACTACCGTTGTCCAGCCTTGTGCCAGTGGTCCACATCCTCGTTGGTGGGAGATTCTATCTGCGGCAAGTCAATTCCTTGTCCGACCTCTCGGGGTTGAAGGCAAGGTCCCCTGTTGCCGTGCAAAGACAAAAGAATATACGGGTTGACGCATGTAAACACGTGTTGAGCGGGTAGAGTGCAGGCAGCCATGCAATGTCCATTGATACAAGACACTTGAAGATCTACTTCCTCACTAGCGGACTTTTGGGTGTGCTTCTCTTGCCGACAAGCAGCATAAGTCAGCAGCTTACTCTGTGGTCGGGGAAGGAAAGGAAGAACAGGCCAGCCAAAGAATGCCACCGCAGGGACATTGTTCCGAGCCTGAGGAGTTGGAGCCATACCCAAAGAGTGGTGCACCGCGGGCACTCAGTAGATTGGATGGCGACCTAAACCTCTATTACCCAGTAACCATTGCAAACAGTTTCTCGCGACCTCTCGAGTGGCCGTCGCAGGTTAGCGTGTTCTACAGGGGCAGTGCTGATGCGGGCTATCACGGGAGAGGGCGATTGAAAGCTTCCGATGCCATGAAGTCTAAACAAGGACCCATAGTTTTACCTCGCACACCCCGGACCGTAGCTCACGCAATCCAATCAAAACATGACCCCCTAGAGTGTCTTGCTCCTTCAAGCGGGGCGTGTGCCGCCTTTCCCTTGCCTACATACGAGCATATTTCATGCTAACACATGGGTAGTTTAGGAGATCCAACTGTACCTGTATTCAAGTTGTGTCAGCAAGCAGTTTTGGTGTTCATACATTTCACCATTCTTAACGAGCCTTTTGCCCACTAACGTTTTACCATGCACATCATGATTTGATTCAGTACTGATGCGCTGACTCGGTCTAGCCTAATCATCCACACCCCACATCTTATGCGATCTGAAATTCAAAGGTTGGAACACACGTGTTAGATCGAAGTGTTGGTTTTCGCTGCGTTTGAAGTATATACTGTAAAGCCCAGATTTTCCATTATTCGTGCTCATACTCGTTAAGACGCGACGACTCTCGGGGAGCTACAAAGGTGTGCAAAGGGAAGACAACAGGTCGCTCATGTAGTCTTGAGATTTGGTACTCTTTGTGGCTGGTTCGCATGCTTGCAAGAAGGTCTGTAACGTAATGTAACGTAAGCGCTCACAGTGGCTAGTCAAGGCAGCCTGATGAAAGACTCGAAGTTGACTGACATAGCACTGCACCGATGCTGCATCAACATGTCAACAAGCACTTGGGTCCCTCGCGATCTTCATTCGCAAAGCCTTCATGCCGCGGAACGTATAATACCTTGGCGCGGGAAGTCATGGTCAACCACAGTGGCTGCACAGGTGAGGGTGTCATTCTGTGTTCTCCGCGCGACCTCACATCATGCTGAGGTTTGGTTCTTCTGCAAGTCCGCGAAGCAGTCGTGATCTCGCTTGCAGCAAAGTCGCGTCTGGCACTCTCCAAAAGTGTAAACAGGATGGGCGCGGTATCCGAACCTCGCTGTTGCTTTGCCCATGTGGGGACTCATTTATTGTGTAGCTTGTTTCAGGCTCACATGCAGGGCAATGGAACGTAAGAAAACTGTGTCAATGGGGTCGGGCTGCACGAACCGAGAACAAAGTCACGAGTCAGGAAAAACGGGGCGCCGTGAACCTTACAGTTAAACCGAAACTCTAAACCCTGTGGCGTTCCTGAAGCAAGAACCTAAAATGTCTAAATTAGCCCGAGTCATACTGTGATTCGGTTCTTAACGTAATGCTGCTACAAGATCATTGAAAAACATACGAAGGACTACTGACCTTGCCCGTGCTTATTCCTGATTTGATTAGAATTAGATTTGAGTAGGATGTGTGCTGAGTTCCACGAAGTTGCACACATCCGCACACCTTTGCAATCAGCAGCCTGTGCAATCTGCTAAGAGAAACTGGTAAGAGTGTTTTTTTTTTTGCTGCGGGTGCTTTTTTGTTGCGGGTGCGGGGCGCGCTTTTTTTTTGCTGCGGGTGCGGGGGCGCGCTTTTTTTTTCTGCGGGTGCGGGGGCGCGTTTTTTTTTTTGCTGCGGGTGCGGGGGCGCGTTTTTCTTTTTGTTGCGGGTGCCGTGGGGGCGCGTTTTTTTTTTTTTGCTGCGGGTGCGGAGCGTTTTTGCTGTTTTCTATATATTTTACTATGAAAACCTCTATTTTCTCTAATTTTTAAAGGGAAATCCTCTTTCTTCTCTATATTCGAATATGAAAACCTCTATTTTCTCTACATTTAGTATGAAAACCTCTAGTTTTTCTAATTTCTCTATACTTTAATACGAAAACCTCTATTTCTCTATATTTTATAACGAAAACCTTTGTTTCTCTCTATTTTGGTCTATATCGTCATAGTTTTCCTCTATATTTAATGAGGAAGACATGAGACAGGAATACATGAGAAAATAATTCTCTGTGTTATCTCAATATGCGACTTGCAATTACAAGTGTCTTTGTTCCTCTTGTCCTATTTTAATGGGAAGCCTATTATTTTCTCTGTCTCTGAATAGGCAAACCTCCATTTTCTTAAAATTTGAACATGAAAACCTCTATTCTCTATCTTTGAATATCAAGACCTCTACATTTTAATATGAAAACACTTTGTGTTTTTGCTATATTTTCGTCAAGACATGAGAGAGGAATACATGAAAAGCTAATTCTCTATATTGCCATAAGAGCACATGCATTATCTCTATCTGTGACTCGTAGACAACAAGTGTTTTTGTTCATGTCTCATAACACAAGCTCTATTTTCTCGATTCTTTACTAAGAAAACGTTGATATCTCTATTTTTAAACCGAAAATTCAACTTCCACTATAAGGTCTGAATTTTCGCAGGAAAGCAAGCATATATTCCGTCTTTTTTCAGGGGGGTTGGGGGCTGCGCAGACCGCCGCATTTGAAAACACAATGCTCGCATCATTGGTTTGGAAGGGATTCGTAAGCTTTGAAGCAGGCTTGCCGGCTAAAAAAGCGGGGGGGTTGGGGGTGGCGCAGCCCCCCCCCCATTTGCAAACACAATGCTCGCATCATCATGGGTTTGGAAGGGATTCGTATGATTGAAGCAAGTTTGCCCGGCTAAAAAGCGCAGCCCCCCGCGGGGGGGAATGCTCTCACGATGGGTTCGGAAAGGATTCATTTGCTTTGAAGCAAGCTGGCATGGCTTTAAGAAGCGGGGGGGGTTGGGGGGGGCGCAGCCCCCCCCCCATTTGCAAACCCAATGCTCGCATGATAGGCTTGAACAAGAAGCGAGCTGGCACGGTTTAAAGAGGGGGGGTCGGGCGGGGTGCAGCCCTCCCTCCACCGTTTGCAAACACAATGCTCGCATGATGGCCTTGGGAAGGATTCATGCTTTGAAAACGCTTGCACAGTTTAAAGGAGGGGGGGGGTTGGGGGTGGGGATGGGGAGGCAATTGCAATACAAATGACCTGGGGGGTGGGGAGGAAGGGGGGGGGCGCGTTTTTTTTTTTGCTGCGGGTGCGGGGGCGCGTTTTTTTTTTTGCTGCGGGTGAAGGGGGCGACACGCGCCAGGTCACTCACTCACCGGGGCGGCCCCCGAAAAAAAGCACCCACAGCAAAAAAGCACCCACAACAAAAAAAAAACACGGGTTCCAACTGGTACTGCTAAAGGCAAATGCCCGTCAAGGCTCCGCAGGCAGTACTTGATGAAGCCTTTTCTGTTGCGAAGGACACAAACGTCCTCACACACGATGGCACATTGACATGGCACCGATACCTGTGCAAGCGAGTGCTGAATGCTTGTCCTTTCCATACTCGAAGGCGACAGCATCCAAAAAGCCACCAGGTATAAATGAGATCTCAGTTAAGAAGCAGCAACTGCTCACGATGGCGGGTCACCAAAAGGCACGGCTCTGCAAAATCAAGTCTTTCACAAAAACAACTTATCAGGTTCCGCCGTCTGCTTTCATTCAAGAAGCATTGACACCTTTCGTCATGTGGAGTTTGAAGCCTCGCAGGCTGTCAATGCCCAGCGCATCAGCACATTACAGACAAAGGGCCTCAGACGAATGGCTACGGCTACGGCAATAGCATGCAGTGCATGCAGTAGCTGTCCTGCGTAGTTTCCTTCCACTGGTTAAAGCTCCCGGGTTGGGCCTTCCGGGTCGCAGGCTTCGATGGCCCTGTCCTCGGGTCATTTGTGGTTCTGCGCCGGCGATTGCTCTCATTACGTTAAACATAAAGTTGAAACACTGGCCTTTCGTTGTCTGGAAGACGGCTCTATACTGCTCTAGATTTTTCTGCTTTAGTAAAAAGGCACCCACACTGTCCGCGCAATTACTTGGAATGCAGATGGCCTCGGCTTCGTAGGCCTCGCTCATCAGCCGAAAGCCGGGGTTCTTGTGCCTGCGACAAGCTGCGCAGTAGTCGCAAGATACTCCAAACTGGCCCAAACGAACCCTAAAACCTATAATCCCAACTACACAAACCAGCCCTGAGCACTAGAACTACTCCGAAATTGCCACCCTGGCCTCAGGGTGGGGTCACACAACCATGCAACACGGGTGGCCGCGCGCATGAAGTCCGGGTTGAAGGTGCCGTTGATGGTGAACCCTGCTGAGAGGCAGCCTGGCAAGTGCTGGCGCAAGTGCTGGCTGAAGCGGAAGTGTAGGGATGTATCGCGATTGATGGTTGCCATGCCAAGGAGCCGTGTGGGTGGAAGCCGAAGAAGCTCTTCGTGGGTCGGATGTCATGCAAGGCACCTCGAAGAGCTGTCTCAGTGTAGTAGTCCTGTGCGGATCTTGGTATCGGACATCGGGCGTAGCAACGTAGCGACGTAGCTGCAGCAGATAGGCATTGACACACAGTCCCGCGGTGCCTTTGCCCATGTGCTGACATAGTTGAAGAGCCAAGGCCTTGGAGAAATGGTTCCTCGGCTGAATTTTGCAAGTGTCTGTGCAGCTTGTGGAGGCACGCTGCCGATAACAAGTGTCTACCCAGCCTACTCGTGTCGAAACGGCAGACCCTACGTGCCTGACTTTGTCCAAGCGACCTGATCGAGTAACGATCCAAGTCAGGAACGAAGCAAAGATCGCAGCAGCCATTGCCTCATTTGGTCAACTGGTTGCTTGATCACAAATGGCTTCTAACGGACATTTTATTTAGTTGTGCAACTAGCATTTTAAATACATGTTCTGAGGCACTTAGTAGCGCAAATACAGGTACCTTAGTTCGCTTGGTGAACATAATTGGAGGTTGGTTCCACAACTTAAACTAATCATACTACCAAAGCCTGTGAATTACAAATCTCGCAAAAATGCTTCAAAAAACAAAACGGCTGTCTAACAAACACATAATTGGCTAAAGCGAGACCTCAGTTTTGGATGTCGAGCAGGACTTGGACGCGTAGACTTCCTAAACCCTTCAAAACGCAGCGGACTAATACCGCGTAACCAGAAAGAAGAATTCATAACAATGGCTCACAAAGAAACCGGGTATATGGGTAGCAACTAACGCACTGTGGCTACTTGGGAGCAAACATCCCACGCGCCCCACACGCAACTAGTGCGAAATTGAATTCTGCAGCGTTTTCTGTTCGTAGCCTTGTCAATTCTGATTCTGTGCCATGCCAGGCTGGTTCCTGAAGGCGGCTATCGCATTTCCTGAATCTGGTTCCCAGAACGTTGCCTTCGCTTCCTGAATGTTGCTGCTCTGATCGACGCAGTGGCCAGTTGAGTGGGCACGCGAGTTCACTCGTGACTGGCCCAACCATTAATCGAAGCCTTCAGAGCCTGTGCTGTCTGTATCGGCTGCCAGATTGGCAGCTGAAGGAGGTGTTCCCCCCTGTAACGCGACTGTATTGCAATCCTTCCTAGAAGAGCCGACTTTCAAGAAAGTACTCACCCTCTGTACAACTCACTTACAACAATCGTGAAAAGGGAACCTAGAATTCGGACTGGGCTAGTTCCCACAAAGGCGCGAGAGGCCATCGGGAATAGATCAAGCAACAGTCTGCGTCCTTCTGCCCCCCATCATCGCGATGTTGGTAGCAGACTGTTTTCGGTCACTGAAAGTCGGCTTCAATCATGTCCACGTCTAACTGCAGACGTGAAGACCGCTGCCGCAGATTGTCATTTCTTACATGCGCGTAATGCACAAGAGTTCTGGAAAACTGAACCTCTGCCCTGGCTGTCATGCAGATGTCTCTATATAATATATGTATACAAGTACATACATTTGGAGACAGAGAGAGAGAGAGAGAAAGGCAGAGAGCGAGGGAGAGAGAAAGAAGGAACAAAGAAAGACAGGCAGACAGGGAGACAGGCAGACAAACAGTGAGAGAAAGAGAGCGAGAAAGAGCTCCTCTAGTTTCGTATGGAGTTGCGTGTTTGCATTTTCTAGTCATGCATGTGTACAGATTCTTTGGCAGTTTACAGTGAGGAAACCTTTCTTAACATCAAACAAGGAACGATGCCATCATGGGCCCTTGCAGCCATGCACAAGACGAACACGCACAGAGCCTTGGCTGAAATTCCTTCCCTAGAATCATACATGGAATGCTGAGCACTCTCCGTCTCCAACACAATTCGTGCAACAGCAAGCTGTAACATCTCGACTCAATCTCACTCCGAGGAGCGGGGCGCAGCGACTTCGGCCCGGCCATCAGTCCCACTCCGGCTCCTGAAAGGTGAAACTGACGGGTTTCTTTGGACTCGTCATGACTTGTCCAGATGTCACAGGACGGCAAAAACCGTCCGAGGCCGAGACCCATGGAGGCCAGCAAGCCTTTGGCTCCGAAAGGAGCACCCGCGGTCAGTAGGGAGCCGAGTAGCAGGCCTCGCACAAAGGAGCCGCGCCGAAGACCGAATCGTGGGTTTCAAGTCTCCACTGTCCAACGTGCTCCCTAAGCTTTAAAGGGATTGGAGTCCACCGGTCTGCCCTCCTCCATCTGGCCTGGGGGAATGACCCAGGCAGGGACGATGATAAGATGGGCGAGGAGCCCCTTCGTCCATGACTTCACCTCGGGTGCATAGCTCCTAGGCCCACCGAGCAACCGCGCAGCCGCCGACAACCAAAGATGGTAAGGCAGTGCCAAGCGTGCGTAAAGGTGTCTACACAGACTGCCATGCACGCGGTCCTTCCAGCTTGCCCTATCCCGCCCTCGCTCTGCACTTGCCAACAAAGCCATGACAGATGCAGGATGATGCATTCCTTTTGCTGCACACCTTTAAAAAAGGAAAGTGCACATAGTGCCATGTTCGGCTAAGAAAGCTAAGACCGATTGAAACGAAGAGTTCACATAAGCGTAGTGTCGCATGTGCCGGCATGCAAGGATGGTGCTCGATCGAAAGCCTTGCACGAATTGTAGATGAAGAGGATGTCAACCTCTCGGCACATGCTCCTTCCTACAGCAGCATTCAAAAGGGCCCATCTGCTTGAATGCCGATGCTGAGCAGGGATGACATGGAGAAACCCTAGACGCTTGCAAATCTCCACCAGATGAAGGATCAAAAACCTGGCAGCAGGACAAGCCACACAGAGGGCATCCTTTCCAGCAGCATAGGCACAAACAGTTCTGAATTCTGTACCCACCTAAGCCCAGCCTGGATCCTTCCCTCAAGTCAACAGCCAACTCGAAGTCACAAAATCGATTCGTTCATAGAGCCCTATGGCTTGGAAGGTGCGTCTCCAGGTCTCATGGGCCGAAGGCCGAAGGCTTGCAGTGTGGCCATGCCGGCCATTCCGCCTTTCGGCTGAAACTTTTATGGCCGGGCCTTCGCGGGAATAAGAAAAGTGGGCAGCTCGTCCACACACCCTGACACTTAAATTGGCGAAGGCATTGTACTTGGAGAATTCGTTTCGGAACGAATCAACATTTCACAGTATCTCCAGCTGTGCATCAGGATAACCTGCATCGGCCTGCAGAAAGAGAAGCACAAAACTCTGAGGATGTAAGAAATGACCGCACACAATGTCACAAGGTTGGAGGAGCGTAGTTCTGCATCGCTGTTGCAGCGCTGGTGATCTGCCTTGCTCTCATCGAACAGCTTCTGCAAGCCATCCATGTACACCTGGCAGCGCAGTAGCAAACCAAGAGTGAGGGCAGACGATTGGGCTTGAGGCGCTCACGATGTCCCGACTGTTACCCGCTGAGTATCTCTGTGGCACCCTGCCTTGTGCCAGTGGTCCACATCCTCGTTGGAGGGAGATGGGATGTGTGGAAGGTCGATTCCCTGTCCAACCTGTCAAGGTCAACACATGCTCCACCTGCAGAGCACATCACTTCGTTGGAAGGCTGCTTTCTGAGCTCGAACCTCAAAACACAGTTGGCATACTCTCAGACCGCGAGTGCGTCTTTGCCGTCAAGGCGCGTAAGTGTACAACCTCGACTGCGGCCGCGGCAAGAAGGGCAGCACGGGCCAGCCAAAGAAAGCAACAGCCGGCACATTGTTCTGGCCCTTGGCGGGTAAAAAACTATGTCAAGAACTGCACTTTCAATTTGCTTCGGCCAATGTGAACATTGACATGCTGTTGACATGCTTAGACCGTCTCAACCTACACAAGTCCTTTTTATCGCCTAAGCCTTGTAAGCTCAAGCGTTGTCGGTTGAAGACTCCTCGCTGGAGTAGTCAAAGTAGGTCCCATCTGCCGTGCTCTTGGCGAGCAGCGGGGCCAGCGGGAGCGGGGCCCCCCGGGAAGCAGAAAGAATTTCCCGGAGCTCCCGTAGCCGATGCCACTTATCAGGGTCAATGCCACCCATGTCAAGCACTGCGAAGGTGTCTGGGGGCAGGTCCGTGGCATAGTTCACGGGCGGATACAGTGCAGAAGTGGCTGCATAGGACCGTAAGGCTGTAATAGCTAGACCAAGCTGACAGACGCAAGTGATGAAACCAGTGAGAATTTTGACGGAGACATATGAGGGCATCACCCAGCTTTCACCCTCAAAGTCTTTTCGCACCAGCTTCTGCAACACTTTTTCCAACAAGCGTGTCAACAGCATCTGCCACACAACGAAGTGCTCCATTGCATTCACATTAGCTTGCGTTAATGTATCAGAGCTGATGGACTCCGTCATAAGTGGGAGGAGGCACTTGAAGCACCACAGGCCGAAAAGGGTACTTACGGTCGCCACAAACCCACACATCTTATCGATCTTGGCGAAGATGCCGGACTGAGCATAAGGCTGGTTGAAGGAGTCAATCAGCCCGACCACAGGGAGGATCACCACGAACTGTTGTAAGCCAAACACAAAGAAGCGAAGATGCCAAAGTTTAACTTTTCGCGCACAGCAGCTCCATCCAAAAATGCAACAGAGAGGCGGTTTCCCATAAACTGGTATCGGCTCTTCTGGCAGATGCGTGACGATTTGCTTCTGGCTGCCATTGAGAATGAATAGCAACTCAATGATCACGTTCACGGATAAGGCCAGCTGACATGTCCGCAGCAGGGAGAGAAGCTCGGCAGCACCTGGCAAGAACATCTGCAAGGCCGCCGTCACGGAAAAGGTCAAGGGCATAAGCAAGAGCACTATCACTCGGGTTGCCTGCAAGCTTCAAGACATCCACAGGGGGGTATGGGTCATGCGGCCACATAAAAATAAGCGGAAAGCTTGCTGAGCAACTTAGGGTCTCGGGCACCGAATGACGAGATCAGCTCCTCGTCTCCAAAACCCTGCGCTCTGGCAGCTGCGATGTGCCGCTTGATGTTGTAGACAGAGATGCCAATGGCCAGGGCGGTGCTAGCAGTGCCAACGAACCAAAAAGCGAGAAGGCACGCAGGTGGGTTTTCGTACATATACAAGGCATTGGACTGTGTGAAGCCATTCGTCTTAGGGGCCGCTTGCGCCATCCACACTCGACGCTGGCGCTACCTTCGAAGCCCTGCATGAGCCAAGCAGCTGCTTCGTCATGCTTCCGGTGGTTTGTCTTTGCTGCGTCTTCTCTCACCGCCAACCCCGCTTGCGACAGTTCACCAAACATCGAAACGATTGCAGTACCCTGGCAGCCTCAACGATGCCAGCACAATGCAAATATCTCACGGTTCAACACACCTGGTCACCCGCTAATGTTTGTAAACGCAGCCTTTCAAATCAAATTGTAAGAGCCGACGGCAGCTGCTCAAACCGTGGGACAAAATTGCAGCTGATGAGACTGACACTTTTGGTCAGATTCAACACAGCCTGCAACATCCTGCAACTGCAGCCGATTGCACCCGTACCTAGATTGGCAGCTAAACACACACATTCACATGCTCACTGGCAGCTCGTACTTCTGACGAAGAAGTATCAACTGCTTTTGGCTTCTTGTCGGGATCAATTCCACCCATATCAAGAACAGCCATGGTGTCTGGGGGTAGGTCCGTAGCAAAGTTCACTGGCGGATACATTGCTGGTCCAGCTTCATAGGCACGCAGGCCGAGATGGGCAAGGTAGAGCTGAAGTACACAGGTCAGGAAACCTGCAACAACTTGAAGGAAGAGCGTGTTTGGCATTGTCCAATTATTGGCATGAAGATCGGTCTTCAAAATCAAGGGCATGATCTTGTCCATGACCTTAGAGAATAGCATTTGCAGCAGCAGGAACTGCTCCATGGCATCCAGCGTGCTCTTTGAAGCAGCACGTTTCTGGATGGACTCCGTCATAAGTGGAAGGAGGCACTTGAAGCACCACATGCCGAACAGTGTACTCAAAGTCACCACAAGCCCGCATGCCATGTCGATCTTGGCGAAGATGCCAGTCTCAGCATAGGACTGGTTGAAGGAGTCAATCAGCGCCACTACAGGGAGGATCACCATGAACTGCTGTAAGCCAAGCACAAAGAAGCGAAGATGCCCAAGTTGAACTTTTTGCGCGCAGCAGCTCCATCCAAAAATGCAACAGAGAGGCGGTTTCCCATAAACGGGTATCGGCTCTTCTGGCAGACGCGTGACGATTTGCTTCTGGCTGCCATTGAAAATGAATAGCAACTCAATGATCACGTTCATTGATAAGGCCAGCTGACATGTGCGCAGCAGGGAGAGAAGCTCGGCAGCACCTGGCAAGAACATCTGCACGGCGGCCGTCACGGAAAAGGTCAAGGGCATAAGCAGCAACTTCATGATGCGGCTTGCCTGGGACGTTGAGGCATGACTGTTGAAGGCAGCAACAAAACAGTATCAAGCTGCTCACACACGACAGCCTGACAGTTGAGACAGCTGTTTGCACACAGGAGACCCTTGCACCAAAGGAAGAGATGAGCTCATCTTGTCCGAAGCCCTGCAATGCTGCACATGCAGCATGTTGCTTGATGTTGTAGATGGAGATGCCAATAGCCAGCACAGCGCAAACTGATCCTGCTATCCAAAGGCAGCGCAACAGCAGAGGTGGGTCATCATACATATAGAGCGCCGTCGCATCGGTCGCATCGGTCGCATCGGTCGCCTGCTCTCCGTGGACATTGCTGGCCACAGCACCAGCAAACAGTGCTGCCATCAACAGGGCAGAGGACATTGCCCCTTGCTGCTGTCTCGCTGCTTAGATACACACTACCCTGGCTGCTTGAGATAGTGCTCAAGGTTGCCACACAGCTTGAGGTCTCCTCACTCCTCACAAAGCTCTCAGTGAACCCGCACAGCTGGCTCGGAGTGCATGGCAAATGAGCTAAGGCCGACACGATCTGCATGCGCAAAGGCTTCAGGCCGCGGAAGGTATAATACCTGACGGGCAGGCAGGTACCAGGCAGGGTACGGACTCGCCCACTTCAGAGCTGTTCAGCTGGTAGCCAAGCAACGTCTCGCACTCGCCAAATGTGTAAACAGGATGGGCGCGGTATCCAAACCTGGCTTCACGCTGTGCAACCACTGCATGCTGATCGCAACTGACAACCCTAAATGCCAGGATGTTTCGGCTCGGTACAAGCTTACAGGGCTCTGCCCTCTCGCCAAATGTGATCGGCACAAAAACCACATCACAAGGTGCCCATCGCGACCGAGTCACTGCAGGCAGTACTTGATGAAGCCCTTCTTGCTACGAAGGACGCAAACATCCTGGAAAGCTGCATGTCTCTGTTTCTTCCCCGACGCTCCTCGATACATTTTGTTTCTATTTCTTGCGTGTGGCATATCCAGGGTTCCCTCCATCTCCTTCGCTAGGCACTGTTTGCGGGTGCTGAGGCGATGCGTTATAACACAAGATGAAACGTCGGTTGGCACATGTTGGCACACCCACCTCGAGCCTTCGCGGACATGCAAGCAGAAAAACATGCGACGAGGGGTCCCTCTCTTGCACCCACGCCCAAGCTCGTCTTTCGGATTTTGGCAGATCTCTCCCCATCTCTCTCTTTTCCGCTCTCTCGCTTTCACCTCTTCTCCCTCTTCCTCTCTATCTGTCCAGGGGCGAACCCCGCATTCCAGCGCGCCCCAAGCACCAGTCTGCGTGAGACCTCCTGCATAGCTCTGCTCGACTCCCCCCCCCAGCCCCCCAGCCCCCCAGTCCCCCAGCCCCAACAAACGTCAGCTACTTTTTCGTGTGCATTCCCACTCCCAACAAGAAAGGGCTTCCCATACCATCTCGGTCTGACTATGTCTGGGGCACTTGCAGCTTTCACATGCTACAGTGGTCACCGGGTCACCCTTAAGCACAAGATGCCGTCTCTCTCTCTCTCTCTCTATCTCGTTCTCTCTCTCTCTCTCTCTCTCTCTCGCTGCTTCTCTCTCCCGAGTTTCCTGCCCTCTTCGTAATTCTCCTTGCATGGCTTGGCTATTCCCTCTAACCTCTCTACCCCAGGCCATTACGCATCCTTCTTTGTGGCTTCGTCGGGAAGGTACATTCTTCGCCGGTGGGATACGTCCCGCGTAAAGATGATGCCACTCATGCCTATGCTACGAGTGTGCGATGTCCTTCCCAAACTCGAAGGCAACTGCATCCAAAAAGCCACCAGGAATAAACGCAACCTTGGTCAGCAGGAGGTGATGAGGCACAACTGCACAACAGTCCGGGGCAACCGTGGACCACCCCAATGCAACCGCCGCATGTTCCAAGTGATTGTGAAGATTGGCAAAAGAAGAACAGTTGCCATCTGATTCAAGCAGCGTTCACGCCGGTCGACATTTGGAGCTTGAAGCCTGATGGGCTTCATCTGACAAATATACCAAGCAAAGAAAGACTCGGACTAGCCCTGGACGCAGAAGTGAAGCAATGCTTTCTCAGCCTTACGAGACAAGGTCAGTAGCGCCTTCAGCATCACAAGCTTCGATGGCCCTGTCCTTCACGCGAGCTCGAAAAAAATCGCCCGATACTTTGAGGACTGAGGACATTGCTTTCACATGGTTTCACAACTGTGGGCTGCTCCGCAAAGCGCTGCAGCATGTTGCAGCACTTGAGTTTGCACAGCAAAAGAAGCCGTCCTCTGCGAGGTATGCCTCACTCATCAGCTGGAAGCCAGGGTTCTTGTGCCTGGTGCAGGTGCACTGAAACTTGCAGATCACGAAACTAGTGCGGAGACGAAACCATTCTCAGACGAGCATGAAAAGTAGGCTAGTCTTCCCGGTGCAAAGCTCACAAAAAAGTGACGACATGGACTGAACTGACCAAATGACATGCAGGATCGTTACTCAGACAGTGTCTGGGCCTGAGGTTGTTGTCACACAGCCACGCCACTCGAGTGGCTGCCCGCATGAAATCTGGGTTGTACGTGCCGTTGATGGTAAAACCGGCGCAGAGGCATCCTGAGACCAAAACTATAAAGGACAATAAACAAGACTCATGCGGCAACATTCTTTTTGAGTCCTGTGCCGCCTGTGCCTCACGCAGCGATGGCTGCTTGCAATGCCCAGGAGCCGTGTGGGTGGAAGCCGAAGAAGCTCTTCGTGGGTCGGATGTCATGCAAGGCACCTCGAAGAGCTGTCTCAGTGTAGTAGTCCTGTGTGGATCTTGGCATCGGACACCGGACGTAGCAACGTAGCTGTGGCAGATAAATATTGACACACAGTCCCGCAGTGCCTTTGCCCACGTGCTGACAAAGTTGAAGAGCCAAGGCTTTGGAGAAATGGTTCCTCACTTGGGCTTTGATTATGCAAAGAATGCAAGCCCGAGAAAGTATAGAACATTGTGATGGCATCCCGTCAGCTCATCGAAACTTTTGGGGCATGATCCTTTCAAGCTTTGTCTGAGCCACCCGAACGAGTCACCAGCCAAGTCAGGAACGAAGCGAAGACTGCACCGGCCATTGCCTCAGCCACTTTCCGTCAACCGTGGCAGCGAATTTTCATGAATAAACGAACCGCAAAAGGAAGGCAAGGCTGAGGCTACACATGTCAATTGTTGTTGAGACCTCTCTTTGAAGTGCTGCGTCATATCCCGTCGCATCAAGCCTCTCGACAACATACATAGAATCACACCATATATCAAAGTTGTCCAGCCGAGGTGCGATGCCCTTCTTCGCTCTTGATGCAAGAAGAATAACGAGTGCGCACAGAACCTGAGTTTAAAATCCATGATATCTCCGCTGCGCGCCACTGCGAGAATGCTGTTTCACCCCACATAAATTTTTTGCGTGGCCAAACTATGTGAAACTTTCGATACAACTTGAGCACTGACTGCTATTCCGTGCCTTGTTCCCCCATCAAGACCACACGTCGCTCTTTGACGGTCAGACGGAAAGCTGCACGCCAAGTTGGCCTGATTGGACTTTATTTATCAGTTTTTTCGGCGAGCCAGATGTGCCCACGGCAATGGGATCTTGTGTGTCTGTAGATAGACGCTTCCGAAGGAATTGAGACCGCACGGCTGAGCAAGGAAGCTCAATCACTGAAAGGAAGTGATTGTTTACCCGCGCGCTTGCAAAGGATGTGGCTTCCAACTTCGTCTTGGCCACTCCCCAAAGAAGGGCACATTCCAGCCATGACCACACCCTTGCTCGACGCGCGACTTTACAGTTTACAGGCCCCTCTACTTCCTTTCGAGCATAGCGAATGCAAATGAGAGCGGTGGCACACCACCAACGGGTGCAAGCCAATGCTGTTCAAGAACTGCCTTGGTGACCTAGATCCGGGTCTCAGGTCCTTCAACGCCGACACACGGTACACGGCACTGCCGGTTGCATCTCCATCTCGGGAGCTGGCTAGCCTGTTTGTCTGGCCTCCGCAAGTTGGACCTGCATTCGCAGCGTGCAGCCGTGTTTGACTATGGTATGCTGGCATGCCGACAAGCCCCTGAAGACAGACGCCGAATTGGTCGGTACTGGCCGTCTTCACTGTTGCGAACAAGACTGGTCGTTGGCATGGCCGGTGCCCCTGCGGTTCCTCAGGAACGGCATCTTTCTCTTTGAATGTCAGAACTTGCTGTGCCGAGCGCTAGTGTCCATGTCGGTGCGCCAAACGAAAGGCGGCTCGGAGATCGAGCTCAAACCCCATCAAAAGCGCATTGTTGACATGGATCTCCAGCCCATCCAAAGACAGCATCGTCGCCGGCAGCTTCGGCGGGGGCAAGTTGCTGGCACGACGTCCGGCGCCGGACCATCGGCCGGTGTAGGCGGCGAGGTCGAGGGTAGGGCACCATTCAGCTCCGTGATTTCGGATCACGGGGTTCGTTATGGTTCTTTGAGCTGGCTCGCCATACTCAGACCAGCCCCCCGTCCGATTCAGATCCACGACTGCGATTCAGTGCACATGCAGCTTCCGCACGATTCGGATCACGGCTTTGGGGGGTTGTCTTTAAGCCACGCCCTTCAGGAACTCACAGCGGCTACTATTGCGACGTACAGAGCCCTACACACCAACGCCTGAACCCTTTCAAAAACCTCACAAGCCACGGCCGACAAATTGGAGGGTCTAGGTCTTCTTTGCAGTCATTGACAAATACTGGGATGTATAAGAAAACCCAAGACCTCCGAAAAAGGGGGCCGAGATCTGGGTGGGGCAAACCCCCTTAGAACCCAAGAGTTTAAGCCCCAAACACCCAAACCGAAGCACAACTTATCATCTTGAGTTCTCTTGTAAGACACACTTTTCTTCAACGACTGGGGAAAACTTAAACCCTAAACCCCAAACCGAGGCAGTCACCTGCGACAGCTGCAGAAAACAGCTCGGAGCTAAAGCCCCAAACCGCAAACTCTCAGCCCTAAACCCTAAGCCATGTGAAGCCTGCACCCACTGTGTCGGGTTAGCTGCCAACCTCTTTTTGGTGCTGTCCGGGATCCGAAACGGGCCAATCGGCTGAGCTCACGCAAATGCAGGCTTGATCTGAACACCGCTCTCAGCAGCTGTCGTCGACGGTCGACGTCGTGCCCTTCGTCGGCCAGCAGCGCCGCATGTGCGGAGACGCAACGCTCCTTGACCGACATTGACAGACATGGGCATCGGCGACTTGGCGACGACGTCGATGGCGGCCTGGCCGTTCCCCAGGCCGCCGTCAGAGTGCCAGCGATGGCAGGGGTCGCCATGAATGCCAACGGGGTCGAAATCACGGCGTCGGAAGGCCGCTAAAAAGCTGAAAGCAAAAGACGGTTTGGGTGTCGAGTGCTTGAGCCAAAACTTCTGCAGCACAGCATCCCCACGCCAGCCTGAACGGTGGCTGGCTCCTCAAGGTGGTGTGGGTGGGAAAGCGAAGAGTGGGGTGGCTTGGGCGTCGAATGCTATGGCGTTCGATGCTCCGCATGTCCCTTCTCGCACTAAGTGTGCTACACGACAGGTTCGGTCGGAGAGTCCACTGCGAAGCCAGTGTATTGGGTTGGACCGAAGGACCTTGTGATCATGTTGTTGCTCTCAGTCTCCAATTGCCATCCCCTTTCGCGCCCGAAATGCCACTAAAACTCCATAACTACACGGCAACGCAACCCACGAATCAATCTCCCAGTGACTCAGTCACTCCGAGGAGCGGGTCGGAGCGACTTCGGGCCGGCCATCAATCCCACTCCGGCTCCTGAGGGCTTTCATGACAATTTCTTGACTTGTCCAGATGTCACAGGACGGCAAAGATCTGAGGCCGAGACCCATGGTGGCCACCAAGCCTTTGGCTCCGAAAGGAGCACCGGCGGTCAGCAGGGAGCCGAGTAGCAGGCCTCGCGCAGCGCGCACAAATGATCCGCGGTGAAGGCCGAATCGTGGGTTTCAAGGCTCCGGTGCCTCCTTTGTGCTCCGCTGCATATTGCTCCGATTTGCTCCCTGGGCCCTTTTAGGGTTTGGAGGCCCCACAAGCCCTCTAGGCCTAATACTTCATTTGCTCGAGGTCTGCCCTCCTGCGTCGGGCCTGGGGGAATAACCCAGGCAGGGACGATGACAAGATGGGCGAGGAGCCCTTTCGTCCATGACTTCACCTCATACGCAGTGCGCACGCGCGGCCCGGTTTCCGTAAAAACTGGCCCCGTGACGCACACAGGTACACATTCTCCATCCAAGAAGCATGTGCATCTGGCAAAGCCGCAGTTGTTGCAGCGATCAGAGGTTGGGCAAAGTGAAGTGCTAGCCGGCGAATCCTGGCACGCACCCAGGTCACAGAAATTCACTAGTCTGATGCAAAGGCCCCGCCTGTTCTCTTCAATTGAGCCTTGCTTGCCTAAGGTGATCCGAACATAGATGCGCTAGGAGTTGGAAGCTGCAGAGATTCTAGCCCAGTGCTGCTGGTCATCTCTGAGGCGTCCACTTTCAAAGCTTGCCAAAGCACTGCCATGCACTTTGGACGCCATGATTCTGCCCAACGACAACTTGCTAGTTCTCGCCGAAACAGAAGTGTTGTTCTTTGGCATAGGTATGCTGCTCTGCCTGATCTGAAGGAACGAGTCTGGGGTGAGCATGCGTGTTTCCACCTGCGCCGGTCCCGAACCGAAATGCAGCTGTCGAGATGCTCGTTATGTGCGCAGCCTATCTGAACGAAAATGTGGTGCCACAGATCGTCACAAGCGAAGAACTGTTAGTCAGACTGCATCAGTAAGTTTGATCCAACCGCTTGCGATACAAAAGAGCCACCCCCGCCCCCACCAAGTAATGAAACTGTGGTGTGGCTCGATTCGTCTGGAGCCTTTGAAGCGAGGCAAGCTACTCAATCTAGGGGTTCTTGCCTTCGCAACGTAGTTCCCTAACTGCACATGCTCAGGAAGTACATCAGCTCCGGACCTTCGAGGAGCTCTTGCCATCGCTACCATTCGATTCGCTCTTGGAAGGCATGGCGTACAGTGTTTACAGACACAACAGCTTGTGCAAGTTGCCTGGAGCATGGTTAACCCTTGCCCAAATGCGACTTCGAGGGTTGCAACTTACTGCTTTGCAGTATCCCCACTCATGGCCCATGTGGATCCATGTGGACTACTTGAGCCACAAAGGTAATTCCAAGGCAAGCAAAACACAAAACAACCATGCATCCCCATAAAACAGCCTCTGGGAGAGTTGCAGACAGACTTCGGCTTTACATGGTGCAGGGAACCCTATGCCAGGGCTCGCACGAGGACTCCTGCAACGTGGGAACGATTCTACACAAGTGCAAGTGCGCCACATCAAGATGTGACAGTGACGCATGCAACTGCTGCTCTTGTACAAGTAGCAATCCCGCCTAGAGTTTCTTACACGTACGTTGCATCTTGCTGCCCTGCTGCAGTGCGAATCTGCATGTGACACTGCCACCTTCCGGTTCTAGCAGAGAGCGGCTTCAGCGGCTCTTCCTTGAAAGCATACTCCTCGGTGTACGTACACCGAGGATCACCGAGGCACCACACGGCCAAGCTTGTCTGAGCCTCTGACCCAGTGGCGCAGCCGGGTCGCTCCAGCGCAGCCAGATCCCGCCACACTTGCCATAGACAAGCTGCGGAAGCAGCGGAAGCATGAATTGCATATAATTGCATGTCACGATGTGTTGCTGAAGGGCTGAAGAAGCTTAATTGGAATCTGCAGCTGGTATCTCTTCATGGACTGACTCGCAATCGATTCGGGACTTGGCAAGATGCTAACGATGCTATAAGGACGCCATTGCTACCGAGGATGCTATGGAAAGTTCAGCATTCCACATTCCGTAAGGCCATGAGGCACCCAAGCTATGCAGGACGGCACGGCACATGCAAGCCATCGCATCGCTCACAGCATCGAGATAATCGTACTCTATAAGCACCTCGACAGGACTTCGTAGAGGCTCTGTTGCTAGCAGCTAGATCAACTAACACAGCCAGTTCGTTGCAAAGATCACACCTCTTCATCAGCAGCATCTATGCAGGAGGACTCACAACCTCAACCACCGGATCGATGGCATACCGCTTGAGCATCTCCGGTCCATCGCCCACCTCTGCACAACATCCAGCTCAAAGAGAGAGATCCACTGCTTCCCAGCACAATGATGCGGATACAGCGGACGCATGGCTTCCGAAGTCTTCGGTACGGTCCTAGGCCTACGCCACATACGATGCCTTCCAGACTACAATGCTACCGGCAGCTCACGTCATCAAGAGGACCACAGCTCAGATAAGATCGGCTCAGCGAGCTCAACTGCGTAGTAAGTTCGGTGCTTTCGAAGGGCTGAAAGTTTCGAGCATCCTGCTGGAAGATCGTTGCAGTAACCCATGGAATTACATGTCCAGTAGCTGCTCAACATTGCTCAACTGCACGCTCGAGCTTCAACGTGCACACTCCGAACTGCCATCCTTTGGCTAAAAACTGCATCTATCACGAATTGTTTGGATCGGCTAGCGGCCAGCACCTGGCCTCATGGCATTGAACGTGGAAGAGCGCTTCGTCACTTCGCTCTCCCTGCCGGTGTCGATTAGTGGATGTCTCAGCAGTGGCCCTACTTGTGGCGTGTGGAGATTGCTTGCGTCAGGTCGGCACCGAATGTCTGAAACAGTCAATGCTTCTGTTCTGCCAAAGCCACGCATCCAAGACAGTGCAAAGACCCTTTCCTGGCTTGCGGGGCCAGTGCTACCGGTGCTCAGCTCTTCACCCATTCAGCATGTCCAGGTTTTTGAAGCAGTCCCTCACCTGCACGGGCCATAAAAATACCATGCAAGACTCTGCTTCCAAGCATCTGTGGCTTTGGCATTCTGGCATTGTCGGCACCGGCTTTCTTGCAGGGCTTTGCTGCAGGAGTTGCCCAATGAAGCCAACGGAGCAGAAACGAAAACTTGCGAAAGACTCAATAGCGAAATCCCGGCATGCAAGGTTTCCTTCAGCTACCCTCCAGGGCAACGGCTAGTGATGGCAGTATACCAGCTGTCTCCCCGTCAGCTAGACCTGAGAGAGACACCTATCTGTCCTCCTATGGGCTCTCATTTCACTCAACATCACTCAACAGTCTGCAGGGTTTCACTGCCCAAGGTCTCAGTTCGCCACAGATGCCATCCCGGAAGACATCATAGCCATCTTTGCCCTGGCGCAAGTAGTCCTGCACTGCAAAGAGGCAGATAGCAGCAGATGGAAATTGCTCCCGAAGTTCCTTTGGGGAAGTGTGTAGAATCGCGAAGGCCACGCCCTCATGACAGTTTGCCTTGCTGCGCGAAACAGCTGATCACCCAAAATAAGCTCCTTGGTGCAGAGCTTGTATTTCTTCTCCATCTCGAGCAGGTTGGAGCCAATCCTAGCCAATCTAGGGGCGGCAACTCCCGCTTTAGACTCGAGGCTGGAAGACTTCAGGGATGCAAAGCAGCCGGGACCCTTGCCGGACGCTGCCATCCACGATCCGATGGTTCGCGGGCTTTGCAGCGTCAAACTGGAAGGTCACGCCGCTGACCTCAAGCCGAAACGAAGACTGTAGAAGGTGCTCAGAGTTTAGGTTCAACTGTTGACCTTTAACTGTCGGCTTTGGACATCTCTGAGCCTTCTCGTCCGACATCGTGAATGTCATGGGCTTGAAGGTTTGAGCACTTGAACGCCGACTGCTTCAGCAAACAGCCCTACCGTCCCATTCTCAATGCAAAACAAGCCAATCGATTCACAATTGCCTCTTAGGCCCTTGTAAAGACGACTGAAAAATATGCAGGCCATTACCTGTTGCAGGTGTGCTTTCTTGGCTCACAGCCTGCGCGAATCGTCCCTCCAGACGAGGGTACTGGGAGACTGAATTCTCCAGCGCCTGCAGAACCTGCAGGGAACGCTTCAGCCCGAAAAAATGGTCCTGGGAGCCAGCCCACCCCTGCCACTGTCGAAACTTCGCTGATCTTCACTAATCTTCACTAGCTTCAACTGACCTCAAACTTCCTTTTGCATGCCGTGCCTGCGCACCCGAGAGCTGCAGCAAGCAAAGCTCATCCAGCATAGGGAGCAAATTCACCAAATCGCGGACTTTGATGTCACCTGCTTGGGCTCCCCCATATGCTCTTGACAGTTGCAAGCGGCAGGAGAATGAATGGATCCATATTGGACAACGAATGTTCTTGTGCTAGCCCCGTTTTTGCTTATGCCGTTCTGTTGTACCGTTTTTCCTCGTATGTCATGCTGAGAGTGTTTTGCTTCTGTGCCGGCTTCTCCTGTCATGCTGTGAATTCCGAGGCTACGGCCTGCAACCCCTCCAAACCCTTGAGCTTCGGGCAGCTCCCATCGGAGCCAGGGTTCAGGGTGATTAGGGCTTATAGGACTTCGAAGCCAAGCCTACCCTGAACCACACACACTACACCGTAGACCCTGTGCAAGGCATCGGCTGCGATCCCTTTTGGTGTAGTTAGGCATTGTTGTGGGGGGTTGGAAGCAGCGGTTGAAGACAGGATCTGGCAGGTGCAGGTGTAACCGCAAACCAAAGAATCTAAGCCTCACAAGATTGAAATTGGCCCCCCGTGGGACCCCCAAGCCGATCACGTACCACCGTGTGTAGATTTGTAAGTTTGGAAGCTCTAAGCCACTCTGAGCCTCAAAGACTCTAAGCTCTCTGAAAACTCTGAAGCCACCATTGGCCTCAGGCTCCTCTCTCCTTACTTCCAGATTGTGAGACAAGTTTGCCGGACCCGTGAAGAACAAGGTACGGGTGGGGGGGCGGGGAGGAAAAGGGGGCGGGGGTGCACCGGAATTTAACGACACTGAATTCAACTTGGATTCGAAACACCGCTCCAGAAGTAAACAAGCTGATATAGGGGGGGGGGGGGGGGGCGTGAGGTGAGAAGAGAATGAGCCGTCCCCGGGGACGGGTGGGGGAAGGGACGGTGGCCAGGTTACAGTATATAAGTCAAGCCAACTGCAGTAAACGCCGCTTGTCCCGATGCCCCAACATCCTGTCGTGCGAGGCGCGACGAAGCCTGCTCGTTTTGCCCGAGCCAGCAGAGGACGTACCCCTCCCCGCAAGAAGTGCAGCTCGCAGCTTGCTTTTCTCGTGTTTGTATGTCTTCGCTGCTTCTCCTGCTTCCTTCTGAACAAACGCTGCCAAATTCGGCAGGCGATCCAACTACACACTTTGAAGAAAAGCCACTTGAGACTGGTGACTTGATGCGGAAACCAGAGCTAGCGCGATTTAAGCCTGCTCAACATGTTCATTGCTTTGCACTTGTTACGGACACATCACCCTTTAGGCTTCTTCGAGCAAGAGCCAGATGCACGCGGAGCTGCCTTGCTCGATAATGGAATCTGCCCGCAGAGTTCCACTATTCAGCATGGCCACATCTGCCTGCCAGCAAAGCGATGGAAGAGTCACAACACGAACACCTTGACACAAACTACATCCGTGCAACCTACCTTGCCCTGGCCATGAGGCTTCTGCAAACTGACAGCAGCTTCCTGTGCATGTCCCTTGTCCTGTCAGCGGTCTGGCCTTGAGGGCATGTCGCATGACATCAGTCACAAAGTTACCGATGTTGGTCTCCTTCGAGGCTCGCGGTTTGAAAATGCGGCGTTGCTCACGTCTTAATGGCTGAACTTAACCCCATAATGCTCGAGATAGCTCAAGGTCTTAGTCCATATCCTTAAGTCCACCGAAGCTACGAAGTCTCCATGACTTCGGAACATGTCCACCCCTTCTTGGCTTCGAAGATGCACATGGGCATGTATGATCTCGGTGCCCAGTCCCGGCCACACACCTTATCCCAAACCCGACCCTAAACCCATGCCCTAAACCTCACCTTTGCATAAAAAAAAAGTAAACCCGATAGAACAACCCGAAAACCAAAAAAGCCGCCTTTGTCCTGATCGAAGCAAAGCGAGAATCCAGATCCACCTGCTTAAAAAAATATAACTCGTGGAGGTCGTCACTGAGAGAACAGGCACGGAGCAACCGCTTCCAGCTGGTCACACGAAGCATGCGCTTCCGGACTAGGAGGACTCTTTGAGGGCTGGACCGCCGTAGCACCGATGACCTGATCCATGGCCTCATGACTCGCTGGACAAACAAACGAGAGTGGGACACGTGAGTGGAAGGAATGGTCCGTGCTGTCGCTTGCACTTCCGGGCCACAGCCGCTAGCAGGCACAAGTTTGACTATGCCGCCTTATCGCTGAGCGCGCTGCTGCACCCAACTTTGACATACAGCCGTCGACGAAGACCTTCATCTCCGGGTCCTTGCCAGAAGTCTGAAACAAATGCCCAAAGAATGCAAATACCAGATGCTACTGCAAAAAAACTAGAATCAGACCCAGATAAACCACAAAAGCCAGACGCAGATGAGGATGTTCTCTCATCACCTGAGGTCACCCAGCATTCCAGAAGATGCACTTTTTGTCGGCGGAAGAATGCTGGCCTTCTGGGGGCGGGAGGCCTCTCTAGATTTCTGCAGCAGTTGGACTTAAACTCTGCGGAAACAGTGCGACCCTCCTTCACTGACAGAGACCCTGACTCTCGGAACTGAAGCCCCTCAGAGACAAGAACGCTAGCTAGAGCGGATACTCGCAGTGGATAAACGAAGCAACGAAGCAACTGTACGTAACACTTTTGAGAGAGTGTTGAGAGTTGAGAGATCTCGTACGAGAGTTAATCCCATGCTGCAGAACCGGCACCCCCCCCCCCAAATTTGCCAACGTTCATCAACGTTCAAATGGTGCAGGCATCGCCTGCCAAGCTCTAAACTACTGGTGAGTCACTGAGCTTCCGTACTCAGTGCCACGAGGCTTCGAGTCTATTTTTGGAAAGCTGCATGCACGTTGCTCAAAGGCTCAAGGACTTCGAAACACCGCATCTGTTCTTCGTCAAGGAAATTCTCTTCTGTCTCTTACGCAGAAGTGTTGAAGCCACATGGTAGGGAGACTTTGCAGCCAAAAGCACCTCTGCAAGTAGGCTCCTGAATTAGCAGAAGGCAGCACTTTCCAGATGCTTTGCGACTTGATTATCCGGGACAGCGTCCAATCAGCTTTCAGAGGTCTTGTTGTGGATGAAGTCCGTCATTGACTTGAGATTCCTCGGGTTGTCTCAATTCTCTGCTCTGCCGACAAACCTTGGTTCTTGGCTGCTGCTGGATCTTAGGCGCAGGCGGGTAATCGAAAACCATGGAGGCAGGCAAGTTAATGCCCGGAACCAAATTTCGCACCTGTACGCCATCATGCATCCACGGCAGGCTAACGTTGTAGTGATGCGAGCATGCGTCGACAAAGAAGTCGGGAAAGTCGGAGTTGTGAAATGAGAGCCCGCCTGGTTGCGGAACTCCACGCTGGACAAGCTGTCCATTCCGGCTTCCATGAGAGGCGAATCCATCTGTCGAGCAGCACAGGCGTGTCTCTAGCGGAGGAATGGCACATGCGGAGAAGCAACATCTTTCATACCTTCAGGTAGCTTCCGCGAAACAGGAACCCAATTGACAGAAACTTCCAGCGCTCGCACGGAAGATTGTGAAGCACATCAGGTCAATGTGCCAATAGCACACCGTTTTGATCCCTTGTATCGTGGCCGGGGTCTACAGCAGCTAGTGTTGTGTTGGCACCGTTCAGCCCATCCAGGAATTACGGCCAACTCCACCTGGTGAGAACTTGAGCTCGGCATGGGGTGGCTTTCAATTTGTAGATTTGACTCGCCTGAGGGGCCGCGATTCTTTGGCAAACTTTGGAGCCCTCCCCTTGTCCCTGCATGCCCAAACGTCAATAATGTTCCTGCAGCCATGCCCAAACCCTGGATGATATCCATGCTGCAGGCACATGCATGGCTTTCCAATTGGCTGAACTTTCTGGATTCCATGCATTCCACAAGTGCTACCAATTGCAGTTGGTATCTTTCCATGGTTTGCTTGTCCTACGAGGGCCCCAGATGACCCAAACGACACAGAAGTCGGTGCCTTCTAAGCGCGTTTTGGCCCCACATCCTGCAACCCCAATACCAGTGTCTAATTTAACAATAAGCCGCAGCATAGTTGGATGGCAGGAGTAAACCCACAGACAGAACAGGTTCTTACCAGGTTTCTCCCGCATGCAACCCTCCCAGTGGACAGGGGACACCCTTTGCCAAGAATACATACTCGATTCAAAAGAGCACACGACATCTCCGCTGCAGCACGTTCATACATGAGGGCTCGGCATCGATGTCGTCGCCGACCACATTCTTAGACAAGGCTCGCAGGCCCTCCATGATGAACTCCTGGATATGGTGGATACACTCAGTACTTGTTGTAAGCTTTGGTGACTTTGCAACCTACTGGATGTCTGAGTTCATCCATTTGCTGAATGCTGTCCCGCGTTGGCCCAGCCGACACGGCCGTGGCAACCGAAGATGCAGCTGCTGCTGCCGGCATTGCAGCCTGGTCGAAACATGCGCGACAGTTTGCCACCGGCATCGGCAATAGAATAGACTACAAGGAGCCATGATCTCACAGCCAACTGTTTGTTGCCTCGTAGGCTGGGGCTGCAGCGCCCGGGCCTGCCGCCTGAAAGACAGTGCGTCAGACTTGTATGAACACTTTGCAAGTTCCCTTAGAGAATGACTGATGGATAGGAGCTGAAACTCCTTTTGGATTCTGCCGAATCACACAGAACTCAGCCGAGTTAAATCGAGCTTGAGGGAGACATTTCAGGAACATGTGGCGAAGCAATTACGATGACAGAGTTGAAGCACCAGCTTCATCGCTCGACAGCCTCATGCATGCATGAATCCAACCAAGTCGAGGCACAATCCCTCCCCGGGAAGTTCCGTACATCTGGTCCAAAATGCTCTTGGCATACTCCTTGCAAGCGCACGCTGCACAGGAGGTGCCAACTGCAGGCAGTTGTTCCTTCCGTATGTTGCGTGAAATGACATGCTCTGACCCAAGAGCTCTGCAAGGCGAGGGAACAGTGAGAAGATGGCTTGACAAGGTGCAGCGTTGCGAAGGCTTTGTGAACGCAATGTGGGTGCGAGCGGCGTTAAATGCAAAGTCTAACATCAATTGCTCCACCGACTCGGATTAAAAAGAAGTCCTGAAAGGCCAGATACACTAGCCTCGGAAAGCCACTTACAACTATATGTGTATATATATATATACGATGTATATCTATATCTGTATCATTTTTATTTTTATGTTTATATCTATATCTATATTTATATCTATATTCATATTTATTTTTTTATATTTATATGTATATTTGTACTTACATTTACATTTACATTTACATTTACATTTATATCTATATCTATATCTAGATTTATATCTATATTTTATCTAAATTTACATTTGCATTTCTATTTATATATTTATACTTTTATCTATATTTGTGTGTTTATGTTTTTGTTTATATTTTATGTTGAAGTTTATATTTTTGTTTATTTTTATACTTATATATCTATATGTATGTTTCTATTTATTTTTATGTTTATATATATATATATATTCATTTATTTGTTTATTTTCTTATATTTATATTTATATCTATATCTATATATCTATATTTATATTTATATTCATATTAATATTCATACTTATATTTATATCTATATTTACATTTATATTTATTCCCTACCCTGGTGTGGGGTTGTTAGATGTTAAATTCAACTCTTCTCCTCGCCCGTTCTCCTCGCCCGGTCTACTCCTGGCCCATCCCTGGAGTGCCCAACCCCAGAGTGTCCCTGGAGTCCCCGATCCCAGTCCTGGAGTGCCCAACCCCAGAGTGTCCCGGGAGTGCCTCGCCCAGCTCAGAGTGTCCCTGGAGTGCCCAACCCCAGAGTTTCCCTGGAGTGCCCAACCCCAAAGTATCTCTACCCAGAGAGAGTGGGGATGTTCGAAGTAAAATAATAACTATATTTGTGTATTTTTGTTTTCGACGATCGTGCGCTCTACAGGAACCACGAGTCCACAGGCTCTAAGCCTCAGTACAAGCATGATTTGTTCGGCGTGTCAACAGCGCCGTTGTGATTCAGTTGCTCTTATAATCTTAGTTCGAAATTTCAATTCACACCGATTCACACCTCTCCACGAGCATTGCCTTGGGTGAGAGATTGGAAACTTTCGGCGACCTTGGCGAAAAAACACCTACAGAGTTTCGGCGGCGGCGGACTTGCAGCAGACAGCTTGGGCTAGGGAACGGGGTCTTTCCTTCCTTCCATCCAGCCAATGTCTTCCCTTCTTCCTCTCATTTCAACCAGTAACGTAGTGTGTTCTCAACGAAAATCGAACTTGTTTATGCTTGTTAACAGAAGGCCTACTCACTTAATCCATGTTGCCTTCGCCTGCAGCCTGTTGTGCCACGCAATCCCCATCGGTGCTTGTGCCCGGCCTCACCCTCAGCATCGCGCAACTCGCGAAAGATTGCCAAGGCTTGCTTCGCCTGCACAGGAAGTAATGCGAACCTTTGTGACGTGGTTGTGCCCCGTTGGATGCGAATGGCCAGCCATCGTACATCACATTGAAACATAACACTGGGCCTGCTCGTTAGCCTTGCCCATATAGTTCTCCACCTTAGCCAGCACTGGCGCAACAAGACATGGCCATAAGAGACGAAAAAAAGGGGAATGGTGAATGGTGAAGGCGGTGAAGAGTGATTGCAGGGGTGTGGCAAAAAGTCTCGATACATGAGCCCATGCAGCAGTGGATCCAAACCGCTGTTTCCCTTAAAACTCCATCTTTTGCGTAAACTTCATTTCCTTTCGTGGAAGTTTAAGGCGCCTATATAATCGCGCGCACCTCTGAAAATGCTTCGAAACTTAGTCCTGGAGTTTACAGTTTTTCTGCCTACGGATGTGAATGCTCAGTTCAGGGTGGAGCGTTGAGGAAGGGCACCAGTCTTGCTCATCTGCTTCCAGGAAACGAATTTCTTGAACTGGGCCAAAGTAACCTCCTTTCGCGCGCTAGTTCGCGGATCTGTACACCCACATGTCGTGGAAAAGGAGATGTATAAGGGCCTATAGGTCAACTCACCTATAGCTGTGAGAATGCAATGAACACTTACAGGAATGGTTGCCCGCTGGATTCTCAGTGTCAAAGATGTTCTCTCAGCCTGCGGCAACGTTCACCTCTGCATTGATGCACAGCATGGCGGCCTCGAGCTTCTTGTCTCCAACCTGCAGAGATGGCTCATACTGTCGGCATATTCATGGCCTGATACAGATATATATATATATATATATATACATATATACATACCTACATAGATATTGGCCTCTCAAAGCACTGGCTCATTTTCTCTCTCCTTTTCTATCAACTAGGTCAGCGTATCGCCCCAGCTTTCCCCGATTTTCCAACTTAGGCATGGCCAGGTCTGGCTCTCTTGGTCCTTTTAAGCACTGGCGGTTCGGGAACCTCGACGGACCATTCGTGTTCTCTCCGCAGAAAAACAGCCGCAGACTTTGATGGCGGATCCTCGGAGAGTTTCTGCTCATAGCATTCTTTGAGATACTCTGCAGGAAAACGGGTATCCAGCGCCGTCGGCGTTGTCGATGCAGAGGGTTCTGAGTCGGCCTTGTAGGAGTTTACGTAGTATAGACAAGCCAAATGCTCCTTCCATGAATAATGAGCATCCTCGATGCAGGCACTGGCAGGAAGGGCTTCATGCAAACACTTTTTGAGATAGACTCCAGGTATCTGGCCACAGTGCGTAGCTCGCGACCACACCTCTAGGAAAACAAGAAGCCGGAAATGTATCATCGCATCTTTCGAAGCCATCTTCGCAAACCCTTCCACCAGCGGCTCATACAAATATGGCTCCAGCTTCCAATGGCGATGCCAAGTAGTGTTCATGAGCCAGTCCACAAATAGCTGTTGGACCCAATCAGACCCTTCGCCAGGGTACCAGAGCGGAGCCAGTTCCATGCAAATTTGTAGCCTCTGGCTCTTCCTCAAGTAGCATGCCCGGCCAGCCATGGCTGCCAGCAGCAGCCGCAGTGTGGTCACTGCAGATGCTTTAGCGACTTCGTCGTCAAGGCTCTGCGCGTTCTGCATTGCCCTTTCAAGAGCTGGTCGAAAGTCTGCGTCTACCGACTTGTCATGGCAGAGGTACGGCATTTGCTGGTTGCATGCATCGCCATGCTCCTTGGAAAACACTTTGGGCCGCGTGATGCTGTTAAGTGCCGTAGTGATGTCAGGGATGTTTAGGCCAATCTTGGCAAAGTCTTCCTCACATGGGTTGCGAAGAACATTAAGCAAATCTCCGCTTTGCACGCTTCTCCTGCTATCAGGACAAGTTAGAGAAGCCGCGCTGCAGTGAAGAACGTAAAGGGCAGAATGAAAAGCAGCTGCCTGCAAGGGCTGCCGCCTCTGCGGAGAAACGCTACTCATGCTACTCCAGTTCATGAGAATGGAAAGCAGCAGCTGCCATATCCAAGGGTCCGCCATCAGCCAAGTCAGATCTGCACCAAACACACTCAAAGCCTTCGGCGAGTCGTCGACTCTTGATTCGACCAGATCTTTTAGTACCGTCTGTACATCGCACACCTCACCCTGCCGAACTGGACCCTCACTGAGTCGCGCAAAATCAACAACGCAAGACGTCATCTCATCCCATTCCTCCAGGTGGGCATCAACATATCGTACTGCTCCGCGCCTCGAAGCCGTAAAGGTCCCCTGAAACTGTCGTGCTCCATGGCTGCCAATAAGACGGCTCTCCCACGTGCCGTTCATCCAACGAAGCTTGTCTCCTGAGACATCACAGACACAATCGAAGATTGTGTCGACCGTCATTTGCGTAATCTTTAATCTTGATCCCTGAAGTTCTGCGCGGACCTCTGTGACGCCCTTCAAGAACGATTTGCCCGTCAGAATTCCCCCAGGTCCAGGCTCCAAGCAAATCTTGTAGCTGATCTTGTGTTCATTGTTCTGCCATGCTGCATCAACCTGCCAATTCCCGATAATGCTTGGAAGCAATACTCCCTGCTCCACCGCACAAAGTATCAGACTGGAGCGTATGGACCTGAGAAACGGCTCCGCCCCACGTGAGACGGGCATACCCTTTGTTGCCTTTGGTTCATTTTGTGAATCAAGACGGAGCACAGGAGAGTCAGTCTCCTCAGATTCCACAGACTGTCTTGCCAGCCTTTTCACATACTTGATGATCTGTTTGTAAGTCCCCGCTCGGCCACCAGTCACATCCAAGAGCTTTAGCAAGTCGGGATGTTTCAGTGGTCGCACAGAGCCCGGATGCCATGATGCTGCTGCCCAGCATGTGTTGGACTTGTAATTGGAGTCCATGTCTGCGGCTTCAAGACTCCACGCTGTGCGCCTGCATTCTGGGTCACGGCGCATTGCCTCTACCAGATTTGCAAGCAGGGGATGCACGGCAGCTTTGAGCAGAGCTGCATTTGTTTCCAAGAGTTGCTGCCGCAACGCCAAGGGAATTTTCGAAAGCACCTTGCCATCCTGGTTGGCCTTCGAAGCTAAAAACTCAAGAGCCTCTTTTTCCTGGATCTGTACTCTTTGTACTTTCTGAAGGCAGCTTTCGGAACTTTTCCTTTTCGCATCCGCCAGCAACTTGTCCATCTCTGCATGGATTCCTTCCCAGATGGAGTTGCTCTTGCACATAGTCTGAAGAGCATGTATTCCTGCAGTCGTGCCAAGATCCTCCATGGCCGCATCCTGCGCAGAAGAGATGCTCTCCCTTCCGCAAGGCGCCCCACAATCTTCACAGGTCCTCTCCCCCGCAAACACAGGCTAGAAAGGGGAGGGCTATGCGCACATGATCTCACATGATCTCACATGCTCACATGGCCCTAGGTCAATGATTGTTTGTAGGATATCAGCTGCATGCAGTTCTGCGGAAACCACTGGGTGGTACGTACGTACAGAGAGAAAACATATGCAGAAATTATCACAGATGCTTATTGCAGCTGGAAGAGCAGCTTCGAGCCACAGAGTAGCACCAGTTAGTCGGTAGCATCATGCAACGCGCTCGTAAGATGCATAAGACGAAGGGCTACGTGGAGGCATGGAACTGATCATCAAGTCTGAGTCGAAGTTGTCGAATGAACACTGGCCCTACTCGGAGGGTGGTCCTTTGATTAATGAACTATAGTAAACTATCAGCGAATGGAACAAACCCCCCCACAGCGTTGGTCTCGCCAAGTAAGCAGCTCCAGTCCCGGTTGGCAACTCGCCTCCTGGGCGATCTTCAAGGCCTCCCGGGCCGCTTCGGCGGCCGTTTCCGTGTCGCTGCAGACGAGGCAGACGTTCGCAAGGGTGCGCATGGCGCTGGCCTTTTCAAGCGCATGAAGGGGAACGGAATGGTTTATGCACTTATATACGGGTGTGAGTGAACGTCGCTGGTCGTACGGGAATGTGGCTATGCGGCTGCTCATCGCACGGCACCCCCTGCACCTCCATTCGACGATCGTCCATCGCACTTGCGCGGTCTACCGCCATCTCAGCAGCCCGGTGTGCCTGAGACAGCAAGGAAGCATGTTTGTCACAAATCAGCCACTACCGTCCAGCATTTGCGTGAAAGCCCTTAATCTTCGAAAAACTGATATGAGCACGATGATACAACTTTTCCAACATTACGACGTGCTTCACAGTCGTCTATGGTGGTAGGGCGGGACCACAGTGATGCGTTCTGCAGCACAGGCACCTTGTCAAAAATGCCCTGGAGCATGTCCTGCTCTTCCTGACTCTTGTCCTCTGCGGCGGCTCAAGTTTTTTGTCTCTGAAACATGCTGCCAAGAAAGCCTCCGATTTGTAACAGCATGACTCGTGGCTAGAACCTGAAAGTTTGAGCTTGCACAGAGCTGCCCGAGCAGGCAGAATCTCCGGTCGATTCAACACGAAAGTCCTGAACATCCTCGTCTCCCGCCAGCTTGACAAGCTTCGCGACCTTGGCGGAGCGAGGATGACGAGAGGATGACGAGAGGATGACAGATGATGACAGTGTGGTACGGAGAGGAACAAAGGAACAAAGGCTATCAAAGGCTGCAAAAGGAGACGATACGCATACCTGTGGTGCCCTCTCAGCTCTCCTGGCCCACGCTGCGAGTCCCCGACACCCGCTTCGGCCAAGAGCTGCAATGAGGTCACTTCGATGCGGCCTGAGACTTTCTGAGACTTCTGAGACTTTCTGAGACTCTCTGAGACTTTCTGAGACTTTCTGAGACTTCTCTGTCAGAAAACTCCGAGACAGAGACGTCCATGCAAAGCAAGAACTTTGTAAATGAAAAGGGCATCTCTGATGATCACTGGGATGTCTCGGGACAGGACGAGTTGCCCATCCTGCAGAGAACACAGATTGACAGAGCTTCTGCGCGATTCTGTCCTATGTTGTGTTGTAGCATACCGTGTGCATGCATGATGCCTTGGCGCTTGTCATCCTTCTTGTAAGCTGCAACCGCAACAAGCATGCCATCTTGCTGTGTCATGCAGCTGTCCTTTCCGTGCCCGTTTCACCAGCTGATAAGACTTCTCCGCTGCAGACGCAGCTTCCTCTCTGCATAGTAAGACAACCGGACTCACTTCAGTGCCTCGCTTTTATCATCTCGTGTGCACACTGACGATTAACAGACCAAGAGAGTGGAGACATACAGTAAGCATGCTCGATGAAACTGCGCCGCGGGCATCAAGATCCTAACTGCATTCACAACTCCTCTGCATCACCACCTTCTTCGAGCATTTGGACCTGAGACACTGACTTGAAGGAAGGGATGCTCTCACATTGCGACAATTCAGAAAGGCACTGCCCTAGCCCGCCCTGCTGGTTCAATTGCACCAGAAAGCAGATTGAAAGCACCAACTAAACTCGCTCTGGGAATGCTCTGGGCATTCTGCTCGCGCCAGGACAGCGTAGGCATCACTTTGGCCCTTTGGATCCTTTTGAGACGGGGAATGTCCAGCGGAGCACTCAGCAGCAAATCGCATGAAAAGCAATCTCTTGAAAGCGACTGGCTCGGCCTCAATCCGCTTGAATAGCTCCAGAGACTCCTCAGCCGTCTGCACACCACGTCGCACCTGAGTCCCATGAATGAAATCCTCGTAACAAGAGAGATTCAGCCGCAGATTTCAGAGCTGGCACGTCGCCAAAGCCGGCGTGCACCTGGCAAGTAAAGGGCAAACACTGATTGAGAAGCCGTTGAAGGCTCCTCGTCGGAAAAACGTTCCATCCGAGGGCGGGTTGAATTGTGAGCGTTGCAACTCTGCACCCTCACTGCAAATCGACACCTCGATCTGCGTCATGGTTTCAGAAATGACGTCATACTGCATCATACTGTGTGGAACTGCCCCAAACCATCACCTGCACTGCCCACCAGCCACTAGCCAGCCATCACCACCCCACCACCACCACCACCCAACTCCAGATATTCCATTTCAGTGGCATACAAGACGTACAGATCTGCAAGCTGCACCATCGAATTGTCACACCAGGCAGTTGAGACACAGCTGGAGCCTCGGCAAGAAGGAGTTGCGTTCGAGCCTCGCCACTCTGGTCCTCCATCAAAGTCGGGAGGACTTGTACACGCGACTTCTCCGCGGGCAATGGGCCTGTGAGCTTATGAGCCCTTGAGCCCTTGATCATGGATCCCTCTCCTCGAGCTCCTGGAACATGGCCAGCGCCTACAGGTTAAACAGTGCCACGCCGTGGAAACCGACGAGGATGACTCCAGCGACTTCTCTCTACTGACTCCAGCGGGACTTAGGACGATTCAGGACTCTCGTCTAGCCCTCTGTACGCTGCCAGAACAAGCGGCCCCGCAGCCCGCAGCCTCTTGTGCCCTTGACTCCGCATCTTGCTCGTAGCCCGCCTCAGAAGTTTCTTGGAATTCGAAGCAGAATCGGCTGGATGTCCAACTGCTTTGCCATGCTTCGGGGGCAGCTCTAAGCCCACCACCGTGAAGAACATCCGCGCGGCTTCGCGCAAACAGTTTGCCTCAGCATCCAGCCACCAAAGGGGGAGTAAAAGAAGATGAGCTGCTTCGCAACTGAGGAAAACAACAAATTTCGACAGTGCTGCCCAAGGTTTTGGCCTCACCTTTCCGATCACTTGCATCATAAAATAGGGCTCGCCTGAGCAAACCAGACTTCCGAGGTCAACTGAGGAAAGTTCGCTGAGGCTGCTGAGGCCGCAGCCACTCATCCGCCGTTCCCACAGCATCTCTGGAGGTCACCTGTTGCTTATTGTTGCTTTGTCGGGCTGAGACTTGTATCTTTGTGTGGCAGTGGAACTCAGCCTGGATCTGCTGCCGGAGGAGCAGCTCCAGCACATCTGCCTTCCGACTTCCGACAGACTACCGTGCATTCAGAAATTCAAGGCAAAGGGGGGGGGGGGATCTATCATGTGTTGATTGTTCGCAGTGGTTTGCGCAGCGTCCGCAGCTGCATTGACAAGAATTCACAAGCCCAAGTTCTTGGGTCCCTTTACGTTTCAGACCAGTGTGGGGCCCGAAATGGTCAAGGCTTGCGGTAACTCAACGAAGGTGCCCTTGCCTCACCACGCCAGTGCTGCGCTTCACGGAACAGGCTCTGCGCCTCATTCAGGTGCTGCTCGCACTCCTGAGTCAAATGCGAGCACGGCGGTCTTTCTCAGAGCGGGCAGCAGAGAACAGTGGTGAAGCCAACAACGGATAAGCTGTACTACTTGCACGTCCTCCAATCGCAGCAGGTCCATCTTCACTTGTGCGGTCTGCAAAGAAAATTTGAGCAGCTGCACGACGGCTTGAAGACTGCAGGTTGCGGTACGGGCTTTGTCTAGATTTGCTAAACTTCCGCGGCCGACCTGGCCTGACGAAGCAGCGTCGCCTCCGCAACTTTGTCGTCGATGCGTTTCGCCAGCTCAACACCCTGGATCCACGCTCGACCCTAGGCCCTATTGAGTTCAGCATGTTCGGCAGCAAGAGGAAATAGAGGTGAGTTCAGCATATTGCAACTGGAAGCAGCGGCTCGTAGGGAGATGCAGCCATACACATGAGATCGGATTAGCTTCTCTAGGACCTAGTAATGGGGTGTCCCAACCGCATCAAGGCCTCCTGCAAGGAGGACATTGCCTGAACATCCGCAAGATCGGAGCTGCCAAAACTGCGGACAGCATGGAAAAGAATGCCGAGCCCCAGACTTCATTGCGCTTGCACATCGATCTCTCCGCCTTGGCCCTCACACGCAGAGCCTCGACTTCGCCGCGTGCATCCTTCAAAGCCTCACTCTCAAGAACCATGCACAACATGCAACGAGAACGCGAAGTTACATGAAGCACAAGTTAAAGCACTGACAAACACGGAATGCAAAAAATGTCACAGAGATGGGCGGTGGAGCCTGGTATCGGTCCTGCGCTTCCTTGAGCAGAGTGAGCGCCTCGCGCTGCTCGTCGTTCTCAACTTGAGCCTCTTTGACACTCACGAGACGAGAGTGAAGTAGCAAAAATGAGATGAGAGATGATCAGACCAACACACTATCGAGTCACTATCGCAGTACAGCATCTCCTGTCCAGGTCCCTTCTTCTGGCCTCGGCCACCACAACGAGGGCGTTCGCGACGCCTGAAAAATGAGGCCGGCCAGCTTTCGTATCCCGACACCCTCCAACTCCGTCCCCATCCCGTCCCATCTGAACCTCGGGAGTCGCCGATGCGCTTGGACAGATGCTGCGCATCCTTCCAGAATATCTCAGAAACTCTCCCCGAGGCCCGAGGCCATCCCAAGGATATCCAAAGGAACTGAAACGAACAGAAGAGCCCCCAATGTGGCAATGTGAGGGAACATGAACAAACATATCAGAACATCCACATATGCAATCGCATGAACAGAGCACGCGAGGGGCCGCGAGGGGCCGCGAGAGGCCGCGGCCTTGGCGCTGCGCAGCGCATCCTGCGGCCGCTCGCGGGCCAGGTGAATCGACGCCACTGCAAGGAGCGAAGCCGCCTCTTTGAGACAAGGCACAATACACACACCTTTCTTTTGAGGAAAAAAGAAAAACGCATGTGCCCCTTTCTGGCCCTTTTCTAGCCCCTTTTTGGCCTGTTGCTTGTAGTCGGACGACTGCCGGAAGATCGTTAGCGATTTCCTGGCCTTGGCACACTCTGACGCGGGCCCTGAACAGCGTCAACATGTTTCAACTGTATTTTTGAAGTAATGCAGCGGTCTTTGCCGTTTCCCATGCTTGGTGACTTGATTCTCGATGTAGTGCAGCAGATACTGTCTTGCAAGCTTCTAGGATCCTCAGGTCCTCGCCGCATCAATGGCTTCCTTGATCTCTTGGCTCTGGCATAAAGCCTGCAAGCGAAAGCGAGGCAGATTCATTCTGCAGCCGCCCGCAGCCTTCCGCAGCCTTTCGCTGCTGCTATCAACCACAAAAATCTGCGTAAGAATTGCAAAACTTCGTCAAAGTCCCGATGCAGCCTTGGCCAGGCACTGAAGCGAAAGCGCCTCGCCCCGCATGTCCCCAACCTGCACGAATGAAGGCTCCGCAACACAAGCTCACATGCTCTGCGAAACCAGAAAGCAACATCAGCCGAACACATGTTGCAAGTACGCCGCACGACTCCAGCACGGCACGACTAGTGCAAAGGTCTGTTGCCTCTTCTGCAATGGCCAGGGCTCTTTGCGAGGTCCTCAGCGACCCAAACTCTGCACAGCGCCATCGATGCTACTGACAAGGGACAAGAAAAGGTTGTCCCGCATCAATCTACGTTTTTCTCCGGGTCGAGCATGCTCAGGCACGTAAAGCTTCCATCAACTTGGAAGGCCTGGCATCGAAACCTCTCGAAGCCTGCACGTCTTGTCGATGCGGCCGTCGACGTGGCAGCCAGCGCGAAACACAGAGTGAATCAGACCAATAAGCAATTTGAGCTTCACTCCGAGGGTAGCCAGAGGGAGTGTTGCTGGGGCTCCTGCTGCAGGGCTTCAGCGGCGTCGCACTTCGCAAGAAGCGCCTCGGATAGTCACAGCAATTCCAAATGGGCTGCTTCGTGAAGGCAAACTTTTGCTATGGGCAACCGAGCCTAAGAAGCAGAGAACCGCGCCCGTGCCATGGTCAAGAAAGCCGACACTTCTTTCTCCGCTAGCTGGGACGCCTTAAGTACGAGGACGAGCAATCCGATAATCCGGCCGTCTGGCATATGCACTCGGTCGTACCTTGAACTCCTCTTGCGCCTCCATGGCCCATCGCAAGGCATCCTCATTCTCTGTTTTCACTGGAGAACGCAGCTACCTCACCTCGTGATCGTGATCTTAGCAGGCCCAAGTTGAAAACAGAGGGGGGGGGGGGGGGAGGTGTCCTGCAGGCGATTGGCTTCCAGGTAGACATTGGCCAGCGCGAGCTTCATGGTCGCCTCGCTGGGGCGCCAGTTTGCTCCGATCCCTGGATTCTCTGCAATCCGCGAACTTCAGGTGCATTGATCGTGGCTGCATGTTAAAGCCGGAATCCGCTGCAAGCAATTATCAAGGCCGTGCGCACTCCTTATCCTTGGTATCAGTAGGCAAACTTACAGACTCGGAACATCTGCAATCAAGGTTTGCTGACTTCCGTGGCGGTGCCTCCCCACATTTGTCTCCTGTCCTTTGGTAGTTCTCCATGTGCATCTTTGCTGATGACAGGGCTTTGTCCTTCCAGGGCATGTCGGAGACATAGCCAAGCATCCAAACTCCAGATCCCAAGACTAGTGACTCGAAACCAGTGTCCAAGCAGTCCTCGCCCTCACGGACGGCTACCGCAGCGATGACTGCCTGCATGGATGATTGTACCACATGCTGCCTTCACAGAACAAGACGAGCAGACGAAGTTATGACTGGGAGATTGCCTTGACAGCATCGGCCGCACTCTGTTCATCACCCAGCTCTCGGTAGAGGATCATGGCCTCGTGGGCAGCACATCTACGAAACACTCCATTCGATCTTGCATGCGCTTGACGGAAGAGCTTGAGGCTTGCACTTTTTGTGCTGCATCGAGGACCTTGCAACAATCAATATATCAAATGGCGTGAGCTTGTAGGCAGCAGGCAGGATTGGAAAATGTTGTGCAGGTCTCTGTATGCATGTGCTGTAACTTCTGCAAACTCCCAAGCATTGCCAGGCACCAGACTTCCTGACATGTCTCCGAGGTAAGGCTTTCCTTCGCGTATGCACAAGAACTGGCCAGGCCCTTGCCCCCCACCGCCAATCAGATTTCCCTCAACAGGGCTAGCTGATTCGATGAAGACTACATTAAGCTAGCCAACGAATTGTATGAACGAAGTTTGCCTTTGCCTGGCGGTGCGATTAGAAGAAGGATGTGAGGAAAGGGGAATGTTGGACGTACCTTGACTGCCGGTTGAACTCAGACAACTCAGAGAATGATTCGCGAGTACACGGTCAACCTTAGTTTTTGCTTCGTTCATGTGTCCATATTCTTCTTAATGTGCTCATAATAAGACCATTCATGCACGCGCTTATGATAAATATTCTCTACACTTCTTCCTATTAGGAAAGGTGTGAATGCAATGCAAACACGAAACAAAAAGAGAATATTCCCGAGCGGGTCGCTCGGCCGAGCGACGCCAGGCGACGCTTTTTACCCCGCGGCGGGCCCTAGAAATCGACAATCTGGCAGTTGGGAAATCTCATGTGTACGGGTTAGAGGGTTCGCTAGGATATTGAGCTTGCAGTTACGCCGTCCTCAGCATAGCGGAGCTGCAGGAGTGCATCGCGCCGCTTCTCCTGCTGCTGACAACTTGAGTCGGCTTGTTGATTGGCCGCTGCGACCATGGACAAGCGCTGTCCTGCTCCTCCGAGTTCAAAACTCCCATGGCGCCAGAAGCTTGAAACTAATAGTAGGTGCTCCTAGTGACGTGAAAGGCTTGCTCTAGTTGCTTGGCTCTTAGCAAAGTCTGGCCGCTTAACTGCAACGTGTTGCACCGTGTAGTGGGGCCATATGAACTGCACCGTTGTTGGCGCTTTCCTCGGACCATAATGAGCTAAAGGAGCCTCAACAAGCAGGCACATGAGTGTCTCAGCACACTTACGAAGGAAACATCAACCAGGCTGTTTGCAGCTAAATCAACTGTGCAGTTGCACATGATCCTTAGCGATCCCTTCTGGCCTCCGTAATGGTGCTGTCGATCTCTATGTGCTTGTGATCCTTGACCTGCACTGTACAGAATGATCACAATGGCGACTCGACACTTTCATGCGCACTCTGACTCGCAGATGGCATATGAGTCAGATGGACGTCTCTCGGTGTGGAATATGAGGACTTATAGGAGGCTCGTAACACATGAGGAGGAGCAAGTGTTGGTCACTTCTTCGCAAGGTGAAGTACTGTGAAGACTTGGCCTCAAAAGCTTTGCTGCCACCATCCGTGAATTCCAGCTGCAAAACCTTAGCAAGAAGTCCAGGGTTCTTTTCCGGTCTTGAAATTGCGTCTGTCTCAACAAAGTACGGAGGTCTTGGCCGTTATGTCTCGGAAATCAGTGCCGCTCTTCAGAACCTTGGCTGCTTGGTCTTCCATCTATGCCCCTGAGCTAGAAAGAACTGCGCTTAGGTGGGGGAAAAGTACGCCCCTGTGGACTCGTCGCTTCCTGCGACTCTACGACAAATAGCTTACAAGAATACTCAGGCACGTGTCACCCAGCAGCTTTGCCAGTGCGAAAGGGCAGGAGCCGCTGCACCCACATAATGCGCTCAGAAATGCCCAAAGATACCCTCCATGTCATAAGGTCACAGGCCCATTGTCCTGGAGTCTTCGTTTGGTGCAACCATGCCACCGAGAAGAAATATGCAGGATTTAGGATACACCAATATGCAGGATTTTAGGATACATCAAGTGGTCAGATGAAGGACCAGCCAGAAGTTCAGGAAAACCAAAAGTCCCGCCTGGGCATCCTGCCAACTTTGCGCCCAGCAGGCTTTCGCGGTTGACGCTTGGGGTTCAAGGTGGGTTGAGCGGTCTTAAGGGGGGTCGGGTGAAGGCATTTCGACTTTAGGACAAATGCTTCTTTGCTGGAAGCATGGAAGCCCGACACGGTTTCTGCACGTGTCTGGCTAGTTCCTTGCACCTCAGAAACTGCCGTGTTTCCTACCTCTCCCCCTCCTTCCCCCCACCCTTTCCCGCCTCCATTCCTTACCCTCCTTCGGGGGCGACCTACTGGCGCCAACTCGCCCCGGCCGAGTCGGCTGGCGAAGCGTGAGAATCACTTCTGATTCCTTGCCTCCACTCCATCTGCCTCCATCATCAACAATGGAGACAAAGAATTGGCCAAACTGCTGGGATGGCGGCATAGGTGCCATGCGGGCCAACCTTGGCAAGACCGCGACAAGCCCAGGTGCCCCAATCTGTGATCGCTAAAGTCGAACTCAAACGGACTCAAACAGAATTCGAACACCATACTTCGAAACGACTTCTACACGACTTCTAAGCGACTTCCACACTCCTGCACATATGGCAAAACGAGAGTGCCGAAAAGGCTTGAGACTGGCTTGAGCTGCGCACAGGTTTGACCTCGTAGTGGTGATCATGCCCACCTGCAATGACGATTTGGCACATTTTGCCACGGCCACGTATCACGGAGCTTCACAGAGCTTATCAGATCGGCCCCTGGGAGCCGAGCCGAGGATGATGTCCACCTCAGGCACCTCTTGGAAGAAGCCGTGAGAAATTGACATGGGAAAGCAGGGAAAGCGTTCGGAAAGCGTGGCACCTCGTTCGCAAGTAGCTCGTCATTGGGCACACGCCTCGCTTCACTTCAGACTGGGAACAACACTTGGAGCATTAACATCAGGCTATCCTGTTCTCAGGCCCGACTTCGCCGACTTAGCCTCCAGCATGTGGGTTAACGCAATGACAATCTCGGCTCCTCAGCGCCACTGAGCGCGTCTGGTGTCTCCGGCTCACTTCGGCTTGGCATATGCACTTAATTGGAGCATTGGACCTATGACTCACTGATGTCACTCATATATCAAGTACAGTGGCATGTTGGTGGGCTGCATGTCACTTTGAGGGCGGGCCGGGATTGATCCGAGCTACTCGTTTGCGCAGCCGCAGATGGCAAGTCACGGATGACAGAACTGCAAACAGCTGCAACCAGCTGAAATTGGCATGCCCCAACTGCAACACAATAGCTTAAGGTGCTGGCGCTCCTGCTCCTGCACTCAACATCAACATACAACTTCAGACTTCAGACAGAACTCAAAACCAGGCAACAGCTGCACCGCAACTACTCACAGAGTCAACTCCCCACCGCACGGACTAAGACCGACGAAAAGCGGTTTGTTGAAATGCTGTGCGCAAGTACGTGCAATGCAACCCACGTCAACCATCACTTTGCTGAACCTAGCCGCCAGCCTTGACTCTCAAAATATCTGAAGCCGTCCTTCAGCTGCTTTGCCAGGCGCCGGGCACAAGGACAGAAGTCCTGCCGAATTTGCAGAAAGGTTCATCGTGTGCAAACCCTTGACAGCACGTCTGGCACCAAAGCACCAAAACACAAAACAACATGTCCAAATTTCAATCAAGATTCGATTAAATTGCATGTCTCCGAATTCTGCTCTCAACCTGGACAAGCGAGTTACAGGACTCTCCCGCATCCAGATGCCTCGTACTCAACCTCGCCAGGGTTGATAGTGGCCAAAGTCACCAGCCATTCCTTTTCCACCTGAACATGTCCGGGCTGCAGTCGTGCCATGTTGATGTTGGGATGCACCCCCAAAGAAATCCCCGAAGAGAACTTTCGCTCGGCCCGGGAGAAGGGGTACGAAGATTAGGGCGCAGTGGTCCGTGAACTTTTATAATGCCGAACATACACTCACCAGTGCACTTCTTGACGGCTTGAACACTGCTTGAACCAAAGATCCAGTCTATCGACATACACATGTGAAACTGCTATGTAGCAACTGCACATCCATTCACCCCTCCGAAGCCAAGTGGTGCCATTGACCCATTGGCTTCACACGAGCTACTTTCTGCTCCTGCTCGACAAGCATGAAAACGCAAATTCATGCTCTTGAGGTGCTTGTGCATTCTTGGGCATTGGCTTTGTACAGATATCGGAAAAGTTCTTCGCGGTTCCCACGCGCTCCAGCTCGAGCGCTCGCGACACAGGAAACGTGTCTGAATAATGTCTTGTTTGTCCGCGACCCTGTCGCTGTGTCGTTCCTCGGGCTTCTGAAGCATCAGATCTGTCTGATTCGCAGGCTGACGGTCAACCCCCAGTCTTCGCACATCGCCCGCAGTGACAGACCCGTTGATCCAGCACAGGCGATCGCACAGGATTTGCCGTCTCCACTGCTCAAGCTATACTGTGCACTGTGTGATCCGTCGTCACCTGCCCCGTGGTGGATATCTGCATTTGACATGACGATCTCCTGGCAAAAGCGTTGGGGATATTCGTATGTCAGCCTTTGGGTCGCACCGCTTCAGATCTGCCCAATTCTGCCCATGTCCACTCGTTTGGCTCTTTCACGTGGCACGCTAGGCTTCCGCTTCAGCAATGACGGGGCGATCAAGAACGCTGCCCTTACCGTGAAGGAATGATATGCTTTCTGGAGTACCGCATTCCGGCTGCGACTACTTCAGCGATTTGAGAGATCACTTCTGTTCTTCTATTGGGCTGGTGTTTTGGCTGCCTTTGCAATATTCAGACTCAGGCCACGTACCAGTGCTTTTGCGTCCTTGGACCTGTTTCGTAGGTGATACTTCCGGTGGTGTGGTCGTAAGTCACGACCCGGTTCAAGACAGCCATGCTGGCCTTCGTGCACCCAGGCCTTGGCCCCAACCTATCACCCCATAGACACTCTGTGTTCCAGCTTTCCTCGCTTATGTCGTGAACCGACTGTTGAGCACTGAATCCAAGCCGTTCGTATTTGCTGAAGACAAAGTGTA